TTCTTTTAAAGTTATATTTACCATTTGAGCAATTCTAATCCTACCCAATTACCCAAAAGAAGTGAAACCTTCAGTCAACAACAAAGACTGGTAAATGAATACAGTGTCTTTTTCATATTTGTCACAAGCTAGGAACAACACATTGTCCAATAAGTAAATAGATGAGTTGTGATATAGCCATACCCTCTAATACTGCATGCAGCCAGGGTGTGACTCTCAGAATTGTTACGCTGAGCAAAAGAAGCCAGGTGATTCTGTTTATATGAAATTTGAGAAAAGGCACAATTAATTGAAAATGACAGAAGTCATTATCAATGGTTGCCCGAGCCTAAGTAGGTATTATTAATTGCAAAAAATGTATGAAGAAACTTTCTGGGGTTTTGGATATTTATATTGATTGTGACTGGTCATTACACATGTGTATGTGTGTGTTGAAACTTTTAAAACTATCCATGTAAAGTGGGTGCATCTTGTGTTGTATGTAAATTTACCTCAGTAAATGTCATTTTTTTAAAGTGAAAAGTACTTGATGGCTTATACCTATAATTCTAGCACTTTGAGAGCCGAGGTAGGAGGATGGCTTGAGCCCAGGAGTTCAAGACTGGCCTGGGCAACATAGTGGGACCCATCTATACAAAACAGTTTTTTAATTATCCAGGCATGATGGGGCTCACCTGTAGTCCTAGCTACACAAGAGGCTGAGGTGAGTGGATTTCTTGATCCCAGGAGGTTGAGGCTGCAGTGAGCTGTGACTGTGCCACTGTACTCCAGCCCGGGCAAGAAAGCAGCACTCTGTCTTTAAAAAAAAAAATGAAAAGAAACTAAAAAATCAGGGTAAAAATCTAATTTAGGACACTATAGAGCACAACTTTAAAATGTGTGAACTTTACCTATTGGAGATTTTAATTATTTTTAAAGTGATAAATGATTACTGACTACAGAGAAGTAACAGAATGTCATTCTTGTTAATCTTACCTTCCAGGGTTGTAATAATGAAGGGAGCAGAGGGCATCAAAGTAGAAAGAATGCCATAATTAGACACTGTCACCACTATCACACCTCCCAGTCCAGGGTGTCACCCAAGGAGAGATTCATCTTGCTGCCTAAAGTCTGATGAAACTTTGTGAAATTGTGCAGTATTAGGTGAAAGACGGCTGACATGCAAATGTCTAAGTAGGTCAGTTCTGTGTTTTCAGAAATAGTTTAAAATGCTTGAAAATCGCAGCAGACTTAAGTGAGAGATACTAGTGACTTTTACAAATAACTAAGCTGGCTGGGTGCGGTGGTGCATGCCTGTAATTCCAGCACTTTGGGAGGCCGAGTGGGGTGGATCATGAGGTCAGGAATTCAAGACCATCCTGGCTAACACAGTGAAATCCCGTCTCTACTAAAAATACAAAAATTAGCCGACATGGTGGCACATGCCTATAGTCCCGGCTACTTGGGAGGCTGAGGCAGGAGAATCACTTGAACGCAGGAGGAGTAGGTTGCAGTGAGCCCAGATCGCACTCCAGCCTGGGGGACAGAGCAAGACTGCAATCCAAAAAAAAAAAAAAAAAAAAGAATAAGCTAAGCTGATAAATTAGCCAAATGGTGTGGCAATATTACCAGCAAGGCATTTTAATGATAATCTCTCATTGTATTCTTAAGGATAAGATTAAGAGATGTAACATGAATGACAGGATTTAACTGGGTTCATACTGGATGAATGATCATACCTGAAGACAGCAAACTAATGAGATTCCTGTCCTCAGTCCTTTCTTGAATATGAGAGCATATTTAGAAGTAACTTATGTGAGGAATTACTAGCATGCTGATCTTTTAAAATCTCTTTTTTTTTCAGCTCTCACATAAGATTCTTGAAACAAGAAAATTAAAAAATATATATAAACTATTTTTATGAAAGAAAAATGAAGTAGGCAAGAAAAAACTGATTTTTTTAGTGAAAGCTAAAGTTTTAATCTGAAATTACAGACCATGTCTACAAAATTAAAAATCCTAGCCAAGTCCAAAAAAGAGAAATATACAAGCGTAAGATGGGGGAAATGTTTATAGGAGCAATTCAGGAATAATTATTCTAGGATTGCAGTTGAATGTAATCCTTTTTGTGTCCTTGTTTGTTTTCTTATTCTATTTATTGTTGTAAGTTTTGACCCATCAGCAGAAAGCATATAATTGAAATATAATTTTAATTGGACTTACTAGAGTGACTTTGGCTGCCATAACAATCACAATAATGTCTGATTTAATGTTTTATGCCCACCATGAGGAAGATGAACATGAGGATCTCACTGTAGTTTGTGTTAGTCAGATCCAATCTGAAGTATTGCTTTTAATTTGGGGCACCACATTATGCTCTGTAAAAATGTGGAAAAGCTAAATCTTGCTTGGATAAGAGCTTAAAGTAGTGTAGAGAAGGAATTTTGCTAGATGATTTTGTAGCTCTAAGATTAAATGGTTCTACAGGTAAACACTTTTTCTTCAAGGAATAAGACTGTAAGACCTGTCAAGAGAATGTGTTGTTCATTTGGTTGATAGCATGTTTGTTCTTTCCTAGTACTTTTGTAAACCTGTAATGCTCTCCTTAACATCTTACGGAGGAGAGAGGGAGGTCCAATCTAATTATCCTAATTAATGGATTGACTTCTGTATCATCTATAGCCAAAGTAAAGTTGATTTATTCCCTTTCCTACCCCTAAACAGTTTTGTGGGTTTTTTGTTTTCTGGGTTTTTTTGTTTGTTTGTTTGTTTTTGGCATTTTTCATTGTAACTGGGTGATGCTTAGGAAATTATGTTTTATGTCTGCCTGTATAGAATTATTTAGGGTAGTGATTACTGTGAAACATTATGTTATGTAGGGATTGGGTTGTTTCTCATCCCATTTCTCTATCTGGAGGATTAGAGTCCCTTTTCCTTCCAGTCTTTCATTCTACAGACCTGGACTTCTACTTTTTGCTGCTTTTTATTACAGAAGGATTACAGAAAGAGAATTATTCAGTGAGATAAAAATTAAGAAAGCAGTTTGTAAGTTATAAAGGATTACACAAATATAAAGTGTTATTACAGGTTGCAGCTACGCAACTCAGCCTATAATAGATTTATGCTATGTAACTTCTGTGCTGGTTATATCACTAGCTCCCCGATCACATTTTTATCTTGCTAATTATCTAGTACTTTCCTCATCAGAAAATTTCTCTCCTCACCCTCCCCAGTTACATTTCTATCTACTTTATTCTTGCTATATTCCTTCGCATCAAATTTGTTGAAAGGATTAACACCATCCCTTGGAGAACACCTTTATCTTCCCCTCTTTTAACTTCAACATGCCTCTATATTTTCATATGGTTGAAGCCCATTTGTTTTTGTTTTTAAGTCTTGCAGGAAAAAGAACCTCCTTTCAAAGACCAACGCATTTGCTGTGTACTAGATCCCAGGTCTCTGAGTGCAGGACCTAGCTCACCAACCAACCCCGTCATCATTTATCCCCCTTTCTTTCTAATGGAGACAAGATCTCCCCATCTTAAAGCTTCCACCAGCTTTTAACTTTGTATGTCACTGCAGAACTTTTTAAGCAGTGAGACCTATAACTGACATCACATTTTCTTTCAATGAAAGAGTGACAGTGTGATGTAGAACACTGGGCCTAAAGTCATAACAAGATAAATTTCAATTGTAGTAAGTGCTATGAAGAAAATAAACTGTGATAGGAAATAGTAATTGGAGAAGGGATTACTTTGGATAAATAGTAATTTGAAATGAAAATTTAGAAAATACTTCTAAAATTTTGATGTTGGTAAGAATAAGGAAGTTTAAATGAAGATGAGAAAGCATGAATAATTTTAGTTATTTGCAAATCTTCCATTTTTAACAGTGTTCATTGCATGATTTTGATTATGCCATTTGGATTTTAAGTTCTCATTTTAAGGTAAAATTTTCTAATGATGGTTGTCAGATTTCAGAAATGTCGTATCTATTCTCTCCAGTATTCAATTAAGAAAAATAACCTTGACTAGCACATTATATGTCTCTTATTGTAGTTTATTCAGTTGATATTTATTGAATACTTACCACACATACTAAGCACTGGGTATACAAAGAAATAAACAAGACACCACCCTTCTGAGACAGGAGGATCGCTTGAGTCCAGGAGGTGGAGGTTGCAGTGAGCCAAGGTTGTGCCACTACACTCCCGCCTGGGTGATAGAGTGAGACTTTGTCTCAAAAAAAAAAAAACACAGCCCTTTAATGAATGTATGTAGCTAAAGCAGTTTTTAGGGGTAACATAGATAAGTTTAAAGTTATCATTGACTTTAAAATAGACCCACTATGGTCATTTTAGAGAGATTTCTCCTCGGTAGTTTTAAGAAGATATTTTAAGAGTATACGACAACTACCTTTAAAAATAGTTTTAATTATCAAACTGCATGTTCTAGTTTACATTCCAAATAGAAGTGAACATAGGCACATTGAAAAAACACATTAATCAAGCCATTATTATGATGATTACTACATAAGCGGAACAGTGAAAGATCACTTTCAGTTGGGTTAGTCATGGGAAAGCTTCACTCAGGAGGTAGAATTTGTATTCAGTCATAAAGGATGGATATAAATAGGTGGAAAATAGAATGAAAGCTAATTTGGAGGGATGGGTATAGGAGGGGAGCATTGAACACAGTGGTGGGATTAAATATCAAGATATATTTAAGGGACATGGATAAATAGGCTTGACTGGAGTGAAAGGTTTGTATTGGTAACTAGTAAAAGATAAAGTCTTTTAATAGAAAACAAGATTTTGACTATACCATTATAGTGATATGTTCCTGTAATCTTAAATTCATTTATAGTCTATTTTAATATTCTGTGAAGGGTTTATCACAATGTACAATTTCCAGTTGTATCATGATTCTAAATAAGCCTTTACACCCCTAAGTATGTTCTATAGATTTTGAGGCCATAGTCCTTTAGCCCTGCTCAGGTTAAAATGATGTTTTGTTTTTCAGTTACTTACACGCCAAGTCAATCATCCACAGAGACCTCAAGAGTAATAGTATCCTTCCTGAAATTTGTCTGCGAAGTTTGAAAGCATCCTGACTTTTTCTTCTGCATTTTGTCTTCACATTATGTAAAAACAGTTTTCATGCTAAGTTTGATATACTGTAAAGAGAATTAATAAAGGATTGTGCATGCATGTATAGGAGAGCAGGATACTACAGCCTGCTTTTGGTTTCTCAACGACTGAACATTACAAGAAAATCCATCAAAAGTCTTTCCAGTAGTAGGATTTTTTGACCACTAGCTTACATTTTGTCAGCACTATAAAACTGATAGTTTTGTAGCTATCTACTAGTCCCTTTCAGACCTCTGACTTTGCTTAGTGGTAGTTGAAATATAGCTGAAGGCTAACAATGAGGTGAAAAAAATATAATATTTCTTCTTCCCTAAGTGCAGACTAAGATACTGTCTGCCAGCATCTTCATTCCAATGAAGAGCCTTTATAGCTTGCCCAGTGGTGCCAAGAGAATATCTGGGCCTACATTGCTAAAATCTAATGGGAAAGTTTCATGTTTTCTCATAAACTTAGGAAAGCATCTCACCTCATCTTAGCACATTTAAAGCCCCAAAAATCTTAAAAGAAGATTATATAGGCTAAATAGAACTAATCATTGTTTTAGACATACTTACTTTAAAAGGAAAGATGAAGTAGTATGTTTTAGAGAATATCATATTACAGAATTATAGAAATTAGATCTCTTACCTTAAATCTTCATAATGCTTGCTCTGATAGGAAAATGAGATCTGTTGTTTTCCTTTACTTACTACACCTCAGATATATTTCTTCATGAAGACCTCACAGTAAAAATAGGTGATTTTGGTCTAGCCACAGTGAAATCCCGATGGAGTGGGTCCCATCAGTTTGAACAGTTGTCTGGATCCATTTTGTGGATGGTAAGAATTGAGGCTGTTTTTCCACTGATTAAATTTTTGGCCCTAAGATGCTGCTGAGTTACTACAAAGTCATTGAAGGTTTCAATTACAGTATTTTCATAGTTCCCAGTATTCACAGAAATCAATGTTCTTATTTTTTATATAAATAGATTTTTTAACTTTTTTCTTTATCCTTGAGTATTATAAAACCAGTTTCAGTGTGCTTCAAACAAAAATATATGTCTTATACACAGTGTTTCATATTTTATTCAAAATTGTTTAAAATATTTTGTGTTCAAAATGTTCTGTGTACCCTGTTGAAAAAAAAAACAGATGTGGAATTTAAGGCCGGTGTGATCCACAGCCATTATTATGGTTTTACTAAGAGAACTGCTCCTTTTAACAGAGAAGCTGTTTCACAATCTTATTTAAGCCTAAATTGGAAAGTTACTTCCTTTAGACTAGAAAGGATCTCATAATTATGGGGCATCTGGAAAAGACAAATGAGAGGTAGATTAACAGTCAGCCTTGTGCTGTCTTGGCATAGCTTTTTCTTTCTCTTTCTTCCTGTTTTTTGCTTTGTGGAAAAGAAGAAAGAGAAGTTCTAAAAGAAGAGAACTAAAACTTCAGTGCAGTGGGAGCAAGTTGTGGAAAGGTCAGTCATATGAATCATTCCCTGAAACAGCATTCTTAAAAGGGTCCCTCGTACCATTTTAGAGGGTCAGCAAGGTCTTCCCTTTATGAGACCAGATTATTTTTATATCCATCAACCAAAACAATACATTGCAGCAGATTGAGTGCAGAAGCAATTATGAGAATCCAGTGGGCTGCTGTTAAGCTAGACATTGAAAAGAATCACAGGCCAGGCATGGTAGCTTGAGCCCATAGTTCCAGCTACTTGGGAGACTGGGGCAGGAGGATCACTTGATCCCAGGAGTTTGAAACCAGCCTGGTCATCATGGTGAGACCCCACCTCTAAACCATAAAAAGAGGATAATTGTAGTACTATTCTTCTTAGTAAATTTTTTTTTTGTTTTTGATAATAGTTGTTTTCATTAAAAATGGATGATCTATGTTAACATCTACTTGTTATTATTTAGGTAGTTAAATGAATTAATAGTTTACTTTCTCCATTAAATTTTAATGATAACTATCCACAGGCGTAATCCACATAAACAAGAGTTCTTTATGGTCCTTAATAATTTTTAGGAGTGAAAAAGAGCCCTGAGACTGAGAAGTTTGAAAACCACAGCTCTAAGCTGATATAAGCTTTCCCAAACATCTTAGTGCAATTCTAAGCTTTAAATAACTTAATCTGCACTAAGACATTCAGAGTACCCTGATAGAAACAGAATAGTTGTAAGGGCTTTCAAAGCTACAAACTGTGTGTAGCAGTTTCCAAAAAGGGAAGTCCAAGTTAGGACTCCGTTTGTCAAAATAAACCTAGAGTTAAACTGAGCTATGATTACGACAGTAAGTGGAATTAGGGCAAGTGGCAAGATGGAACATTGGACTTCAAGTTAGAAGATCTGTTTTCTGGTACCCTATTTGGCCATTAAACTGCAAGTTTCTTAACCTCCTAGTCTCTTAATCTGAAATGTTGAGTTGGACTAGTAGATTTCAAATGCCTCTTCTGTTTCTAAGATTTGGTGATTGGAGTTAGCTGGATTTTTTTCATTATTTAACATATGTTTAACTGTTTAATAATTGTAAGTGAAAGGAAATTAATAACTATAATCTGATGTCTGGCACCTTTGTTAAGGCATACACATTTTATGAAAAAGATGGCAGTGTATCCTAAAAAGATGAGGGAAAACAGATTTTCAGTGTTGAAATTGTAAAACTTAAGATTATAAACAATGTCACATGCTTTTAAAGTATGTTCATTTTTAACTAGTATGGGAAAGTTATGCTCAATCAGGTCTCCAGTTTTGTCCTTACTTTTTCAAAAATCTTAGTTTATACAGTTTGTAGATTATTATACATAAAGTTTTATATTTTCTTATAATTTTTTTTGTTGATACCTGTGTAGATGGGTTTTTCCTTTATTCTTCCACGCTGAGTTTTAGACAAGAGAATAATAGCCAACAGTACCCCTTCATTGTTAAACCAATCCTCGGTTGATACTGCCATCAGAAACAAATACAGAACATCAGTATCATAGGAGAGAAGAGTTTGGTCACAACTAAGGCTATGTGGTCCTCTGAATTATATACAACATTCTTCTCAACTTTGTTTTATTTATGTCTTAGAAGAGAAAGAAACTTTTGTGAGAGCTTTTACAAATTAAATCACTAAATTGAAGATTCGTCATGCATTTCTTAAAATAGGTGACGTGCAACTTTTCATCAAACTCTCTACTAACAACATTAACAGTATGAGATAAAACTAAATTTAAAAAAAAATTCATCTGATTTCTACTCCATCTCTCACAAAAATTGGTTCAGGCTTTGAAAATTATGTCTTTGCCATACCAACCTCTCAGTGTTCTGGCTTGCTCATTACATCACAGTCATATGTGTTTTATTTTGTACTGTATTACTAAAAGCAACTATGAACAAAATGTATGACAAAGGCAAGTAGACACAATCTTCTCCTTCATTTCCATCCTCTCGCTTTCTTCAGGACATCCCACAGATCTTCCATCAGTGGTTCTCAACTTTGGTTGGACATTAGAATCATCTGGAGAGCTCTAAAGACTAATTAATGTTTGGGTCCCACCCCCAGACTCTTATGTTATATGATTGGACTGGAGTGTAGTGTGAATGTTGAGGGGTTTAAGGCTCTACGGGTCATTCTCATTTGCAGCTGTTGCTGAGTGCCATTACTGCCTCTCCTTATGAGATGCCTGCCTTTCCCAGACCAATAACCGGGAATCTTGTCCCAGATCTCTCAGCCATTTTTGCACAGTTAGTACCACTTTCGCTGTCAAATTGACATTGTCACAAACTTTTCATTAATATACTGCCATTTTACTTCCTTCCAAATGAAACAATACAGAAGACCCAAGGTGAAAGAAGAACTCTTTTTAGCTAATACTTTACCAACTGTTTACTGTATTTTATGTAAATAAGAAATCTGTGCAATACAATGACTAAAAATATAGAAAATATGATTGTTTCATTGCGCCAAAAGCAGCAGCCAAAAGATTCTTTATACCATCTTCTACTAAATCTACCCACTGTCTTGCTTTTAATAAAGTATCCATGGCATGTTTATACCATATGCTTATTCCATAGCTTGAAAGGGGATTTGAGTTTATCAGTCTTGAAATTCTATCATTATTTTCTAAGGTGTCCTGAGATGAGAAAAGTTGTTTGTACCAGTGAGAAAACTTAAATTCTAAGACAGTTACTACAATAATTGTGCTGCTTCCAAGCATCTTATAACCATAAGTCTAATATTTTTTTGCTGAATCGGGAATGGGAACTGGGAACTGATTCTAATAGGGTAAGTCATAGGAATAATTCAAATGACATTTACAGTATTTTGTGCAGAAAGAAATTGCCTCAATAATTACTAAATTATAAAATCTTAGTAATACAATACAAAATCTCTGCTTATACTGTCTCTTTCTGAGTTTATAGAGCAGAGGGCTTTTTTTCTTCATCTTAATCAGTTGTATTTCTTTGACTATCAAGAGAATTGATTACATATTAGACAGGTGTTTTAGTGATAAAAGCATGACTAGGAATTACAGTAGTGTGTTTTTTCAGTCTTTATTCAGTTGAAGGGAAGAATTAACTAGACCGTTTTTCTTTGTATGTTCTAATAGGCACCAGAAGTCATCAGAATGCAAGATAAAAATCCATACAGCTTTCAGTCAGATGTATATGCATTTGGGATTGTTCTGTATGAATTGATGACCGGACAGTTACCTTATTCAAACATCAACAACAGGGACCAGGTAAATATTTACCACCTCTTGGTGTTTATTTTACCATCTTTATACAAGGCTCCAGTTAGTTTTAGAAAATAAGTGGTAAGTCGTGAGTAAGCATGAAAGATAAATGTCTTGGTTTTTGTTTTTTTGGGGTTTTTTTTAGCAGTTTTAGAAATCGTTTGTATACTTTTGGCAGTAATAACAACATGTAAGTCCTTTTCTCAAAATATCAGCCATAAATGTTACAATGGAATAAAATGCCTGACTTTCTGACTAGAAACTACAGATATAACAATGGGTATTTCTTGACTATAGCACAATTAGACGAATGAGCTCTGCTACTGTAGCATCTGGGCTTGAAACTTTTCGCTGTATCATAGATTGTGCTGTCAGAACAGGTACTCAGCTATGAGCTTTTTTTATATTAAATTCTTTTAAAATTATTAAGATTTCTTGACTTCTTTAATTTTTAAAACTAGGTAAATGGAAGAAATCATGCTTTGATTATTTTCTATAATGAGAATTCTAGTTGGAGGGTAATTTTTTACTTCTTTCCTTGCTAAGTTCCTGTTCCCTGTCCCTTACCTTCCAAAAGGTACTAACATAGCCTCATGGAACTCTTAGCTTTTTCTCTCTCTGACTCAGTAAGCTCGCTTAGACTTTTAAAATTGGCCAAGAAAAATGAATTGTCTTTACTAAAATTACTTTGGACAACTCTGTATTTTAAAAGGTTTGTGAGTGTGTGTAGAGAGATTACAGGAGTTATACTGTTAATAGAAAACACCAGTTGACCACATAAACTTCGATTAAAGAATATTTAGACTCTATGCTATGATTTGCCCCAGAATCACCTGGGAATTTTGTTTAAAAACGGAGATACTGGAGCAGATTCTAATTAAATGGGGAAGGGTCCACTCACCTGCATTTTTTTTCTGTTTCCCAGGTGATTCCAATATAGACCAAAGTTGAGAGTCACCAATCTAAATAGCTTTTTTTAAGTGCAAGCTTTTTCAGTATTTCATCATAGCTTCCCAACCTGACGAAACTGTATTTTTTGTATATAAATGTGTTGCTTCATTTAAGTGATTTGTCTGTTTTGTCAAGAGCTCAACTCTGTCGTTTTGGTGCTAGCTCTGAGTAGCTTTCTCACTTCACCTATTGTGATATCAGAGAAATAATCTCTTAAGTTACCATGAACTTTGTGTGTGTGCTTGTTGAATCATCATATGGCCCTTACACAACAATGGTCTTGACTGTGTTTGATGATTTTTAAAAACGGCTACATTTCTGCCCAGTTCATTATAAAACTAAATTTTAGTTGCTGTTGGCCTTTCTAACTACTTCATAGCTTTAGAATATTGAGTCTTAGCTTTGAGTATGAAATAACATGACTTTGGATCTGATGTTTTAAGCCTGCATGAAACTTAGATTCAGGATGGACTGAAATTTCTAAAGAACATAATTGAAACATTGTACTTACTGTACTTGTGATAGATATAGATCACTGAAATGATTGATTTGACGATGGAAGCCTGGGTAGCCAAATGGTCTCTAATTTACAAGCTTCATATGCTCTACCTTTTACAGTCTTATTAATTCAATCATACAGCATAACATCCTGTACCATGTTCACTTTTCCTGTACATAATATTTTTCTGGAGGAATTACTATGGATTTTCAGTTTAGTTTCAGTTGATTTCTCATATAGACTACAAATTAATAAAAATTTATGAACCTAAAATCTGGATGAAATTCATTTGTCAGTGAATACGTTTATTTTAATACAATAATAAAATTATAATATAGAAACAAGTATTATCTCCAAAATACGGATAAAAGCATCCCAGAGTTCTACACTCATCCACTTCTTGGCATTTTAGGTGCTTTGTCCTCCATGGGAGTATAATAAATGATGTGGCAAGGGCTTACTCTCCATGAGAGGAGTGTGTGACCAACAGAAGGGTAAGGCCTTTACTAGTTAATTCTTTCTAATAGTATAGTTAGAACCTTCTGGAATTTGCTAGTCTGAAACCAGGTTAAGTATTTAATGGAGAAAAAGGAGGTAAAAGAACGATATCCTCTTACAACTACCCCCATTCTGCTTCATTACCCTCTAGTTTACTTTCGTCAAATAGTACTTTCTATGAAACTCCACATTTTGAAGGGTTAACTATGGCCATCCTCAATGAAGTTGCCCCAGGTATTGCTCCATTCATCCTTTGATTTTTCTTTTGCTGTCTCTATACTTGGATCTTTATGGCTCTCAGATTAGACATCTGTTTAAGAATCCAGGAATATTCTTTACTGTGCAATGCGAATACCATTCCCCTAGACTCTCATGCCCATAATCTGAGGTGGCAGATTTTGCCTGTAAATTCAGAGCAGAGTTGATAAAGCAATGTGATGTAATGGCAGGCCTTGGACTCCAGATTTGCATGACCTGGTCTACCTACCTCTCTGGGTATCTTTTTTTTTCCTTTCTTCTTTCTTTTTTTTTTTTTTTTTTTTTCCCCCGAGACGGAGTCTTAGTCTGTCACCCAGGCTGGAGTACTGTGGCCTAATCTCAGCTTACTGCAACCTCTGCCTCCCAGGTTGAGGGATTCTCCTACCTCATCCTCCTGAGTAGCTGGGGTTACAGGCACGTGCCACTTTGCCCAGCTAATTTTTTTGTATTTTTGGTAGAACTGAGGTTGCATCACATTGGCTAGGCTGGTCTCGAACTCCTGACCTCATGATCCACCCACCTCAGCCTCACAAAGTGCTGGGATTGCAGGCATGAGCCGCTGCACCCAGCCTTTTTTCTTTTTTCAATCACCCCAAAAATAAGAGAATTCAGCTAAAGAATTTCTTCCAGCTTCAAAAATCAGATTCTTTTCTAAAATAGATCTCTTAGCCCTCTTCAAAGCAGTATGCCTTTTTACCTTTATTTACCCTAGCACTGAAAGTCTGGTAAATCACATGGTCATCCCCCCACCCTCTTTCTCATTCCAATATTTTTCTCTCTATTAATCACCCTATTCTTCCTTCCTTCAGTGCGCTTTCTCTTGTAAATTGGACTTAATAATGTGCTCATTTAAGTTAGGTATATTGACTATACCTTCATGGCTCTCTTTTCTTGGAGCAGAATTGCTGTGTCTTCTTAGAAGAATAAATAGCATATATTCGTTATTTCAAGTGTATTCCAGTTATAATTGCTGCATAACAAACCACCCAGAATGTGGTAGCTTAAAATATTAATCTGTAGGTTGGGCTGCTCTCAGTAAGGAAGGTTCTAATCTGTTTCACCCCGTATTGACTAGAGTAGACTGACTGGTTGTTAAAAGAATCCACTCTAGAGTGGCTCATTCACATGCCTGGCAAATTGGTGCTAGCTAGAAGCTCGAAGCTCAGTTACTCTCCACACGAGCCTTTCCTTGCAGACCTCTTCGAAGGTCTTGGAGGACCTCTTCACTGGTCTTTCTCACAGCATGGTGGCAGGTTCTAAGCACAAGATCTGAAGAAACAGGAAGCAAGTACCAGTCTCTTATCAACAGGCAAATTATTTTAATAGAAAATGTTTTTAATACCAACTAATGCAAAGTACTATGGGATATAGAGGGATTCAAAATGAATAAAACAAAACATAGGCTCTGCTCTTAATGGCATGGGCAGTTCTGTTGAGGTCATGCTGGGGGCGATACTGAAAATGAGCAGACATGTGCTCCAGTAATACCATGGAGTGAATGACAGGGTCGAGATGCCAGGAGTGCTGAGCGTGGATTGAACTTATGAAGAACCAGTCCCAGAATTTCAAGCCGAGGTATTGATTTCATAGTGTATGTGCCACATGAATCTTCTGTCCATGAATAACATCCAGGAAAAACTTTCCCTTTTTTCTTCTGTTTCTTCATCAGTCAGCTTCTGCACCCCACCCCAGCAGATAGTGAAGGTTGCCTGCTTTGTGCTCTGCCCTAACTAAATTCTGTGGGATCTATAAAAACATGAGAGTTGTCTTCAATTTTTTTTCTCACATTCCTCCTGAAAGAATCTTGAAAAAACTGCTTACCTCCTTTTACATTTTTTAAGTTGGCATCTAAAAGTTTTTAACTTAAGTTTAAATAATTGCAAAGAATGTGATTTCCGGTATATTCTATTAACATTTTAAAGTAAGACTATAATATTAGATACATATATCTCTCTCTTTTTGAAATGTATGCGTTCAAATCTAAAAACCATACTGGTTTTATGCCTATTAAAAAATACTGAAGTTCTTCATTAATTTCTGGAAGTTTTACATGGTTCTTTTTTTCTCTTCAAACTATTTGTATTGTTTCTCTTACAGAACTTCATCCTAATGTAACATATTTGTATGTTTTAAAGCCTTTTGTTTATTAAGTTACAACTCTGCAATAAAAATGTGTATATGTTTAAATTTAGAATTTTACAAAATTGTAACTTCAAGCTCTGATTATTATTTTCTTAATTCTGAATTATGTTATTGTTACAAGTAACATATAACTGATGAAAGCAACATGTAAGTTTTGTATATGGAAAATTAGAAGGTAAAATTATATTGGAAATATGTATCTTAATGAATGACATGGACTTTTCCTTTCCCTTCAATTAACGTATCTATCTGTGGATAAATACAACTCTTCCGTTAGGACACTAGATACTAGGACTTAGTATTGATCCATTCCTTATTTCATTTCTAAAGAGGTAAGTACTGAGAAATTGTATTTAAATTATAAGATGAGAAAGGCAGGAGTTTTGTGGTCCCCTCGACATGCAGAGTTTAGTGGTCCCCAAGACCCAGCTTCAGGTTTGTTAAAAGGACTCACTGAAAACTCAATGAAAGCTGCTCAAGACTCACTGACAGCTGTTAGAGTCACAGTTACAGTTTATTACAATGAAAGAATACAAATTAAAATTAACAAGGGAAGAGAGTTACAGGACAAATTTCGGGAATGTTCTTTTAAGAGATTTATAAGACAAAATTCAGGAGCTTTTTGTCACCCTCTCCCAGTGGGGTTGTGGACAGAGCTTCCAGTAGCAGTGTGTGACAAGATACATGGATTATTGCCAAACAGGGGATAATCACCTGAGACTTGGAATCTAGAGATTTTATTGCAGTTCAGTCACATAGATATGGTTGACCACCTGCGATGCTGACCTTAGTTTACAGCTCCTGTAGAGGTCAAGCTGATGCCACATACCCCAGACCCTTTCTGTAAATCACATTGTTAGCCTAGACTATCTGGTGTGGCCCATGGCCCCCAGATAAATAGACACTCTGATCAGGCAGAACATTTCAAGGGCTTAGTGATTACCTCCCAGGATCCAAGAGCAAAGGGTAGCTCTCTCTTTGAGCAAGGTTGATTTTAATTCCTTGCCGCATACTGTATCACTCAATCATTTGAGCTCATTCCTATAAAGTACCAAAATTTACATAGCAACTTGTCATTAAAAATGTTTTAAAAGCTCAGCTGACATTTCAACTAATATTTTTGAAAGTAAAGATTTGGAAACGACAGACTTGTTACCCGTTTGTGTGAGCCCAGTTCGACACCAGTATTTGGAAATGTCTCTTTGTTGCCCCAGAGGTTTTTACGCCCTGGGACAATGTGTACTATATTTAGGTTACACATGGGTAAAAGGTGTGGCTTTTGTAAAGTGGTAGAAGGGCAGTTATAACAGGGAGAATGGGAAAGGAGGATAAGTGTTAAACCTCCACTTGAGACTTGAGTGGTTCTCTGGCAAATCAGTTTTTTCAAAGGGGATATGAGTAAGTTGATGGTTGTAGAAATTAATTCCCTTAAAACCACTATGTTGGCTGGGCATGGTAGCTCACATCTGTAATCCTAACACTTTGGGAGGCTGAGGTGGGTGGATCACTTGAGATCAGGAGTTTGAGACCAGTCTGGCCAACGTGGTGAAACCCTGTCTCTACTAAAAAAAAAATATACAAACATTAGATGAGTGTGGCAGTGCACACCTGTAATCCCAGCTACTCTGGAGGCTGAGACAGGAGAATTGCTTGAACCCAGGAAGGGGAGGTTGCAGTGAGCCAAGATCGCACCACTGCACTTTAGCCTGGGCAACAAAGCAAGACTTTGTCTCAAATTTAAAAAAAAAAAAAAAAAAAAAAAAAAAAAAAACACCATGTCTTTATACCTCTGGTAAAGTCTTCATGTAACCCTGGTGATACTTGACCCCAATTTAAAGGCTATAGATACATGACATGACTAATCTACTAGCAAAAAGTTATCACTTACCTTAATGAATAAACATTGAAAACCTCTTGTGTCCACAAGGTTATGTTAAATACTGGAGGTGGTGGTGTTATAGATATTTTTTAAGAATTTTTTTTTAAATATGTATGTATGAGTCACAATCTCTCTGCCTTACAAGCACCCATAGTCTCATTGGAGAACTTAGATAAGATACCTATCACAAAAAGGTTAATAACCATACAAGGCAATAAATAATTATCATAGCTAGTGGTGGGAAGGAAGACCATTATTACTTCCACGTATGTAAAGAAAGGTATGATAAGCCTGGTTACCTTTCAGTTAGGCCTTGATTCATCTGGATTTCAGGTAGCTAGAGCAGGGTCAGAGAGGGCATTACAAGCAGAGTAGGAGCAACAGCAGTAAAAAAGTTAAAAGTAGCTTTGTATCGGTGTAGATTTCTCTACAAATCCTATTATCTCAGGCAAGTTAATTTATTTGAGCTTTGGATTCGTTATCTGTAAAATGGGATCAATACCAACCTTGTAGAATTCTTTTTTTGAGGATTAAATTAGATGACATCTAGTATCCAAATGTCCCAAACTTTTTGGCCTTTCAGGGCTACCTTTTCCATTGATAGCCAAGTAAGAATACCTGAATTGCTGTCCATAATATATGACTATAGGCACTCCAGATCCTTTCTCTCAACTTAGAAGACCTCTGTTTGAAGTGCTTTACATTCTTCTGGGTGTTGCTTATCACCTGTTGCTCCAAGGTATTATTCCAGGTTGTGCTCCCAGAATTCTTTTTTTTTTTTCTTTTTTTTTTTTGAGACGGAGTTTTGCTCTTGTTACCCAGGCTGGAGCACAATGGCGCGATCTCGGCTCACCGCAACCTCCGCCTCCTGTGTTCAGGCAATTCTCCTGCCTCAGCCTCCTGAGCAATTGGGATTACAGGCACGTAGAGACGGGGTTTCACCATGTTGACCGGGATGGTCTCGATCTCTTGACCTCGTGATGCACCTGCCTCTGCCTCCCAAAGTGCTGGGATTACAGGCATGAGCGGGCGAGCTCCCAGAATTCTAAGACTGCTATCTTCCATTAAAATGATGATGATACGATGGTGTGGCTTCAGTAGGGGGCATTGTGGAAGAAAACTGTTCTCTCCTCAATTCAGTATCTCTTTCCAAGGTACATCTTTAACCTCTACCATATAGAGACCACATTGCAATCAAAGCTTTACTAAAGGCTGGCAGTGAAGAGTCATTACAGCAGCAAACAGGAAATAACACAATATATCAAGCTTGACCATTTCTAAAATTCATCAGCTCTGCCCTCTAGCAGGGATCTCTTACAGACTTTCTCCACTTTAGCCTCTACTCTGCCCCTGTTGGACCTATTCCCGCTAAGATCAAAAGCCCTTCTCTCAGGCTGTCCTCCCTGAGTCTCAAGACTCCTAACATCTATCTCTGCCTGCCCTCAAAAGAGGCAAAATATTAGGAAATTAAGAAATTAGAAAAAATTCTAAATCTCTGAACCCAGGGAAGACAAGCCTTTTTACTTCATTAAACAGAAGATTTTAGCTCCTAATGGCTTCTCCTTCCCTCCTCTGGGGTAGGAAACCAAATGGCCCATTAGTGTTTCCACAATAAAAGGGCTTAAAATGCAGATGGCAAAACAACTGCGAAAATGTTAACCTCCTTGGTTTTCGCTACACATATATAAAGGGCTTACCACAATGTCCAACAACAAGATGTGCTGAATAAATATATTTTTTTAAAGAAGAGGCACTGTCAGATCTGTTTTAGATGGTTACCCTGTGAGTGGGAAAATGGACTGGATAAGGAGAGATCAAAAGCAGGGGAGCAATTAGAGAACTTTTGCCACGGTCCAGGGATCATGAAGATTTGAGCTTGCAGCTACTTGTGTGGGTTCCCCACAATCATGATGTGGCATTAGTTTTTTATAACATTCTCTTGAGGTGTAATACATACATCGTAAGCTGTAAGTGCACAATTTATTGTGTTTTCAGTGAATGTGAAGTATATTTTTCAACTTGTTTACAAGGTTGAATTATTTGCCTTTTTTTTTTTTCTCTCTTTCCAGATAATTTTCATGGTGGGACGAGGATACCTATCTCCAGATCTCAGTAAGGTACGGAGTAACTGTCCAAAAGCCATGAAGAGATTAATGGCAGAGTGCCTCAAAAAGAAAAGAGATGAGAGACCACTCTTTCCACAAGTAAGAGAAAGCTTCATGCTACCCAAAAGAACAGACTAATATTTATAGACAGATTTCTGAGCACTTTTTTGGGCACACAGTCTGTATTTCATGAGTTTGGATTCTATGTGCAGACTCCAGACAAGTAAACACATTAAGATGGTTTCATGAGGGTTGAGCATTGGTACACCTAGAAATTTGGGGTCCCAATACAAAATATTCAGAAAGACTTTGCATTTATCAGGCGTTCTCAGACTTCTCAGTCTTTGAACCCTTTTACACATTTAAAAATTATTGAAGAGCTCTACCTACACTTGTAAAATAACGACAGTAAAAAAGGCAATAATGTCTTAATTGTTATTACAAAAATAGTTTGACTTCGTGGTTACCCTGGTGGTCCACAGACCAGATTTTGTGAACCAGTCACTGCTTTATTTCTTCTTAGTGGTAAAATAAAGATTCTAAGCTTTCCTTTAATACTAGGTCTTTTTGAGGGGCATTTCCGCATGGGCACAAAAAAGAAAAGGCAGTAAGGTAGTTGTCAGCTCAACCTGCCTTTACCTAACTCTTGATAACTCATTGCTTTTTTTTAATTCCATACTGGAAAGATAAAGCCTTAAGTTAGTAAGTCTCACAAAGAACTGTAACTAAGGCCAGGCACAGTGACTCACACCTATAATCCCAGCACTTTGAGAGGCCAAGGGGGGCAGATCACCTGAGGTCAGGAGTTCAAGACCAGCCTGGCCAACATGGTGAAACCCCATCTCTACGTAAATACAAAAATTCTCTGGGCATGGTGGCAGGAGCCTGTAATCCCAGCTACCTGTGAGACTGAGGCATGAGAATCGCTTGAACCCAGGAGGTGGAGGCTGCAGTGAGCTGAGATCACGCCACTGCACTCCAGCCAGGGCAACAGAGCGAGGCTCTGTCTCCAAAAAAAAAACCGCACAACTATAACTAAATACCTCAACTAGCTTACAGAGTTAAGCTGTAGTAGATATTGTAATATAAATGCAGTGTTTTCTGATACTTAGGGAGCTCCTGATAGCACTGGGTAAATATTCCTTGGTCTGGACACAATGGCTCATACCTGTAATCCCAGCACTTTGGGAGGCTGAGGCAAGCAGATCACGAGGTCAGGAGTTTGAGACCAGCTTGGCCAACATGGTGAAACCCTATGTCTACTAAAAATATTAATATTAGCCAGGCGTGGTGGCAGGAGCCTGTGAATCCAGCTACTTGGGAGGCTGAGACGGAGAATTGCTTGAACCCAGGAGGTGAAGGTTGCAGTTAGCCGAGATTGCGCCACTGTACTCCAGCTTGGGCAACCGAGTGAGACTCTGTCTCAAAAAAAAAAAAAAAGCCTTGATAAATCAATAAATCAGTACAGTTTCTAGTGAGAAGTCCTGTCTCCAATAGTAACCCTGCTACCATAATTACTGGAGTGTTCATTTATGAACTCTTAGGCCTTTGAATACCCAGTCCTAGCTAACTCAGACAGAAGTCACTGTTAAGGAATGAGATTCACTCATCCTTTATTTTTAAATCTAAAAAATTTTATTCTTCTCTAAAGAATTAAAGAAGATAGAATTGATGGTTTTAACAAGTCTCTCAGGCTGTTGCCTAAGAGAAGAAAAGGGAAGCTAAGTGATTGGGTGGGTAGATGTAAGTTTCATTTACCAGGGTGTGAAGTTACTGTTCCTTTGAGGAAGAGTTTTTATTTTTTGTTTTGTTTGTTTGTTTGTTTGTTTTCTAAGTCAGGAAACCTCTGGGTTGAGCCTGTCCTGATGAGAGACCAGTGCTGCATGACCCTGTCCCATGTTCTCTTTTCACATCATAGTGCTCAGGTTTCTTAGCATGGTTGATTGACATTAATAATGCAAAGTACATCCTTAGGCCCACTTTTTAAATGATATTAAAAGGGGCAAAATGCTTAACTCATACTTCTAATTATAACATTTCATTAATTACGTGGTTTCAGAAAAGGAAGTCCATATATGAACTTTCCAGATTATTGGAGGCTATCCCTTTTGTGTTATTTTAAGATTTTTATTACAGGATCTTTTCACACCATACTGTTATGTGCCACATAAATTGTATATGGCTAAAGATCTATATGTTTTAAAAAAAAAAAACTATAAAATATGAAATCATTTTTATAGTTTTGATGTAGAAAAGACTTTCTTAATAGACAAAATTCAGAAGGTATACAGGAAAAAATTAGCAGATGTGAGTATGTTAAAAATTTTTTAACTTCTATATAGAAAAATAACATTGAAAGATAAAGAGAATAATTGTAGCATATAGAACAAAAAGCAAATGTTTATAATATACAAAGGACTCCTACAAATCAATAAGTAAAAGACAATCAATAGAAAATGGGCAAAGAGAATATGAAAGGTGATTCACGTAAGAAATACAAATAGTGAATGAACCTAGGAAAAGGTGTAAAGATTTCCATGGCAGTCAGTAAAATGCAAAGACACACAACAGTGAAATACATTTTAATTTTGCCTCTCAGGTTGGTAATATCCAGCACTGGTAACAATGGTGGGAAGTGAGGAAGAGCATACTTTCTAAAATTTTAAAGATTTGGTGGCAGTATAAATTGTTCAGCATTTTGGAAGAACTTGGTAGAATCCATAAATTCAAAATAATTCTAAAAATCTGTGCTTTATAACCTATTTTGTTAAGTATTCAGATATATATAACAATGTTTACTATAATAAGAAAAAAAGACACTAAGAGTAAGTTAGATTTGTATTGATGACATGGATATTGGTGAGAGAAAAAGAAGACAAAACAGAAAACAAAATGTAGTATGATACCTTTTTTTTTTTTTTTTTTTTTAAATAGGGAAGGTCTGTTCTGTTGCCCAGGCTGGAGTGCAGTAATATGATCATAGCCCACTGTAGCCTCAAACTGCTGGGGTCAAGCAATCCTCTCACCTCAGCCTCCCAAGTAGCTGGTACTGCAGGTGCTCAGGACCACACCCAACTAATTTTCTTTTTGGTTTTTGGGTTTGTTTATTTTTTTAATAAACATAGAGTCTCACTATATTGCCCAGGCTGGTCTTGAACTCCGGGGCTCAAGTGATCCTCTTGCCTCGGCCTGCCAAAGTGCTAGGATTACAGGCATGAGCCCCAGTGCCCAGCCCAATACTTTAAAAGGTTGTACAAGTAGGCTCTATTTTCATACATTAAAAAGTTACAGAAGAGGCTGGACATGGTGACTCACACCTGTAATCCCAGCACTTTAGGAGGCCGAGGTGGGCAGATCACCTGAGGTCAGGAGTTCGAGACTAGCCTGGGTAACATTGTGAAACCCCATCTGTACTGAAAATACAAAATTAGCCAGGTATGGTGGCTTACGCCTGTGATCCCAGCTACTTGGGAGGCTGAGGCAGGCGAATCGCTGGAACCTGGGAGGCAGAGGTTGCAGTGAGCTGAGATTGTGTCACTGCACTCCAGCCTGGGCAATAGAGTAACACTCCGTCTCAAAAAAAAAAAAAAAAAGATACAGAAGCAAGTATAGACTCTTAACAGTGGTTATCCCTGGAGGGCAGGATTTAAGAGCCTTGTACTCTTTATACATTTCTATAGTATTTTAATTTTTATTTGCATGCTATACTTGAAATTTAAAATTTTTTGTAACTGCTTCTTTGTCATGTATTAATCATCATAAAGATTACTTTTTTAAAAAAGTTTAACTTTAAAAAAATTTTCGGCCGAATGTGGTGGCTCACGCCTGTAATCCCAGCACTTTGGAAGGCCGAGGCAGGAGGATCACCTGAGGTCAGGAGTTTGAGACCAGCCTGGCAAACATGGTGAAACCCCGTCTTTATTAAAAATACAAAAATTAGCCGGGCATGGTGGTGGGTGCCTGTAATCCCAGCCACTCGGGAGGCTGAGACAGGAGAATCACTTGAACCGGGGAGGTGGAGGTTGCAGTGAGCTGAGATCACACCACTGCACTCCAGCCTGGGCAACAAAGAGTGAAACTCCATCTGAAAAAAAAAAAAAATTTCGGCCAGGCCAATGGCTCATGTCTGTAATCCCAGCACTTTGGGAGTCCAAGGCAGGCAGATCACCTGGGGTTAGAAGTTTGAGACCAGCCTAGCCAAAATGGCGAAACCCCATGTTCAGTCTCTACTAAAATACAAAAAATTAGCTGGGTGTGGTGGTGTACACCGTAATCCTAGCTACTCGGGAAGCTGTGGCAGGAGAATCGATTGAACCCAGGAAGCGGAGGTTGCAGTGAGCCGAGATTGCACCACTGCATTCCAGCCTGGGTGACGAGCAAGACTCTGTCTCAAAAAAAAAAAAAAAAAATTGGTAGATCAGGACAATAACAGGTAATAATAATAGCTGCTGAAGTTTTGTTGAGTATTTATTATAGGCCAGGCATTATGCCAAGCCCTTTAAACACATGTTTCCTGATTATGAACATGCATTATCATGCCATATGCCTTCAAGGATATAACCTGTTTCTTTATACCTTAAAATATGTTTATTTCTACATTTTATGTAGAGTTCTCCTGTCTTTGCGCTTGGGTTGTCACCTGTCAGTTCTCAGGTGCTACTATCACTCTAGGTCCCTGCGGTTCTGCTTTTAATTAAGTGTATGTAGCCAGGCACAGGGGCTCACGCCTGTAATCCTAGCACTTTGGGAGGCCGAGGCGAGTGGATCACGAGGTCAGGAGATCGAGACCGTCCTGGCTAACATGATGAAACCCTGTCTCTACTAAAAATACAAAAAAAAAAAAAAAAAAAAATCAGCCAGGCGTGGTAGCATGCACCTGTAGTCCCAGCTACTCAGGAGGCTGAGGCAGGAGAATTCCTTGAACCCAGGAGGTGGAGGTTGCAGTGAGCCAAGATTGCACCACTGCACTCCAGCCTGGGCAACAGAGCAAGACTCTGTCTCAAAAAAAAAAATTAGGTGTATGTAAAACATTGCTAGGTTTCTTTAAAGGGCAAGTAGCTGTGGTAGTTCTGTTTAGAGATAGTCATATAGTGCTTTGCTTTACTTATTTATGCTCTATCTTCTTCCCAAAAGAGACTTGTGGTCTGTAACAAAAAGGTATAAAATTTGTTTTAAATTTCTATTATTTACTGTTTCCAGACTAACAAATGATCTAAAATATAAATAAAAGTTAACTGTGAATTACTCTCCCGATTTAATTTACAGAGATAATTTTCTTTTTAAGAAAAAATACCAGTTTTGTTACATATATTTTTGCAAGCATTTATGACAATACTGAAAACTGTGTAAGATTTCAGGCGCTTTCTGGTAAAGTGTGATGGGACTTTTAAAAATTTATGCCACCCAGATTTTCATTCTTCTTTCTGTTTTTTCTTTTTCTTTTCTTCTTTCTTTTTTTTTTCTTTTTTCTTTATTTCTTTTATTTTTTTTATTTTTTTTTTCTTTTTTCTTTTTTTTTTTTTGTAGATTCTCGCCTCTATTGAGCTGCTGGCCCGCTCATTGCCAAAAATTCACCGCAGTGCATCAGAACCCTCCTTGAATCGGGCTGGTTTCCAAACAGAGGATTTTAGTCTATATGCTTGTGCTTCTCCAAAAACACCCATCCAGGCAGGGGGATATGGTGCGTTTCCTGTCCACTGAAACAAATGAGTGAGAGAGTGCAGGAGAGTAGCAACAAAAAGAAAATAAATGAATATATGTTTGCTTATATGTTAAACTGAATAAAATATTCTTTTTTTAAGGTAAACCAAAGAACACTTGTGTGGTTAAAGACTAGATGTAATTTTTCCCCAAACTAAAATTTATACTTAACATTGGATTTTTAACATCCAAGGGTTAAAATACATGGACATTGCTAAAAATTGGCAGTGCCTCTTCTAGAGGCTTTACTTTCTGTTCCTGGTTTCTTTTGTTCACTTGGTTATTTTAAGTATTAAACTTCAGTTTTTCTCATGCGACTTTTGTTACTAGCTATCACATGTCCGCTAGGGACTCCAGAAGAAGAGCATACCTGTTCCTATGTTTGCAGGTGGGAAGTTGTCAGTAGGTTAACCTGGGTTAGATAAGGCAAACTGAGCAGATCTAATTTAGGAAGTCACTAGAATTTAATAATTCTATTTTTATTCTTAATACTTTTTCTATAATTCTTTTTATAACAGTTTGGAAAATGTGGTTGTCCTTTATTTCCTTGAAGCAATAAACTAAATTTATTTTTATAAATTGTGAGTGCAGGTGACCAAAAATACTGCTGAGAAGTGGCATGTTTGACATGAGTAAAATGTCTTAGCTTTGGATTTTTAGTGGGAAAATGTTATAAATTGGAGTTCTTTTTAAATAACTTTTTTTAAAATACATTAAAGATGTCTTGCTCACGTAGAAGTCAAACTTCATTGCAAGTGCATTGTCCCCTTTCCACTTAATCCCTCCCCTGCAAAAAATCTTCACAGAATTCTGTGAGAACTTTTAGGTTTGTTTTTCTTTCAGATAATTGTAGTTGCCAAACACCAGGTAATAGATTTTTTCAAGCGATTATTAGATTATTCTTACCTCTCATAATGCATATTTTAGTAATCACCTTATCATTGTGTCTCATGAAATTTCTGTCCTCCATATATTCTTTGACCAGCAAGATTCTACTTATGATGAAAGAATGCTGTTCTCCTTTTTGCATTCCATGGTATGAAGTATTTGTTAGTACTCTCTAATACTTATACTTTGTTGTATAGAAAATGACTCTAATGTGGTGGTCAGTGTATTCTTATTGTGATTCAGATGGAATCAAAAATAGAAAGCAACAGCATGTGGTCCTATCAAAGATTTGGCCATCTCTACTTCATTGTCAGCCTCTTAACTATATCTTCACTTACTCAATTTAATTTTGTCATGATTTTTAAATGTAGCCAACAGTTAGTTCAGTGTTCTTCCAGTCAACAGATATCTGTATTGATGCCTTTTTGAGGTCAATAAAGAACAAAATTGACAAGACTTTAAATTAATGATAATTTAGTTTTTAAGTACCCACAAATAAATTTTTTAAACATTTTCTTTATTTGAATAGTTAGATGTCATTCAGGAAAATCACTATTTATGGCAAACCTTTAACCCCTCATTTGGGTAGCTTAAGATAAGTAATGCCATTATGATTTCAGAACTGATTTATGACTTTCAGTTTAGTTAAGAAAATGAGCCAGGCGTGGTGGTTCACGCCTGTAATCCCAGCACTTTGGGAGGCCAAGGCAGGCGGATCACCTGAGGTCAGGAGTTCAAGACCGGCGTGACTAACATGGTGAAACTCCATCTCTACTAAAAGTACAAAAATTAGCCTGGCGTAGTGGTGGGTCCTTGTGATCCCAGCTACTCAGGAGGCTGAGGCAGGAGAATCACTTGAACCCAGGAGGCAGAGGTTGCAGTGAGCTGAGATTGTGCCATTGCACTCCAGCCTGGGTGACAGAGCAAGACTTCGTCTCAAAAAAAAGAAAAGGAACGATTCTCATATTTTAGAAGTGAGACTAAGAAAGGAATAAGGACTTGTAACTACTGGAAAATATCAAAGTATATGATTTTTAAATCCTCCAGTGGCACTAAAGATGTGATTATTAGTAATTGTTAAATAGAGTTTTATTCATTCACAAACAGAAGACTACTAGCAGACATGTAACAAAGTTTTTACAAAATTGACTTTCTCTGTGGAATGCTCCAGAGGTTTGGCCATTTTGGGGCACAAAGTTAAGGGATCTGTTTATTAATAGAGCTCTTTCTATAATTTCCCAGCATACCTGCCTCACTGTTCCCTTCCTTTTTTGTTCACTCTTTTTCTTCTCAATGCCAATCCTGCCTAGGCTCCCATCACCTGCATCTGATGCCTTTCCTTTCTTTACTAGCCACCTTTGCAATGGGGCATGGATAAACTCTGTAGAGCTGCTCAGAAACTCATTGTCCCATCCTGTAGCCAGTAAGAGATTCCTCCAAAGTATCACAGAGTAATTCTACACTCCCTTCCAAATTAGACCCATTGGAAATGTTGGTAAAAGGACATTAAAAATGTGACAGGTGACCTGTTTAGCTAACATCGATCTAGAGAAATAGGAAGCAGTAAAATTAAATGTTTACTTTTCAGGTTCAGTTATATTTGTTCTTGGGTTTTGTTTTATAGTGAGTTTTAAATATATTCTCCAAATAAAAACATTTTTTTAACCTACATAGAGTTACTCCTTGACTAAGTAATTGAAACAAAAGAACATTTGTTCTTTTGTTACTGCTTTTTTCCTAAAGCCTGAGCCCTCATATATTTTTTTTAATTAAAATTGATTTCCTTCTTCAGTTAGGAGGCCTTTTTTATAAAATTTGTTTTACATTTTAAATGTTTTACTAATCATGAGGAAAAAAATCTATTATTTTAAATATTTTTGGGATCACAGTGTGTAATCAGATGCTTCCAGTTTATTTATTTTCAGGTATTATACTAGCCATTTAATCTTTTTTGTTTATTTTCTTCTTGCCCCTGAGATGGCATTTACTAGCCATTTAGATACTAAACTCTAATAATTCAATAGTTAAATTGTCCTCTGTAAAGCAGTGGCTATTTAATATGTCAGCTTAAATGACTTTTCCCTCAAGTGAGTCACTCTCAGTTTAAGAAAATTATATGCCTTTTTAAAAAATACTATGAAGGCCGGGCACGGTGGCTCAAGCCTGTAATCCCAGCACTGTGGGAGGCCGAGGCGGGTGGATCATGAGGTCAAGAGATCGAGACCATCCTGGTCAACATGGTGAAACTCCGTCTCTACTAAAAATACAAAAAAAAATTAGCTGGGCATGGTGGCACATGCCTGTAATCCCAGCGACTCAGGAGGCTGGGGCAGGAGAATTGCCTGAACCCAGGAGGCAAAGGTTGCGGTGAGCCGAGATCGTGCCATTGCACTCCGGCCCGGGTAACAAGAGCGAAACTCCGTCTCAAAAAAAAAAAAAAAAAAAAAAAAAAAATACTATGAAATGGTACTTCATGACAGAAACATTTTATCAGTTACAGTCTTATTTGATTGAAAATCATTGAGCATTTCTGTAGAACTTTTTATTTTACTAAATATTTCATCTCTCCTGTGACTGTTTTGTCAGAATTTAAAAGACCCAATGTGTCTATGCCAGAATGTTTCTCATCCATTTGAAACTGCTGGTCCAGACATCATAGCTCATACCTGTAATCCTAGCACGTTTGGAAGCCAAGGTGGGCAGATTGCATGAGCCCCGGGGTTTGAGACCAGCCTGGACAACATGGCAAAATCCTGTCTCTTCCAAAACTAATTTTAAATTAGCCAAGCTTAGTGGTGAACGACTGTAGTCCCAGCCACTCGGGAGGATCACTTGAACCTGGGGGGCAGAGGCTGCAGTGAGCCTTCGTCATGCCACTGCACTCCAGCCTGGGCAGCAAAGCAAAACCCTATCTCAAAAAAAGAAAAGAAACTACTTGAAAGTCATGACAAAGAATGTCAGGAGGGGACTTACTCTGGCTTCAGTTGACTTTCTCCTTAAATGTCAAGTAGTGATTTATTTGGGTAAGAAGTAACCTACTATATTTTTCATAACATACTTTAAGGAATTTACCAAATTCTGTGTATAATGGCCATTAAAAATATACTCAATTCTGGAATAAAGGGTAGTTAGTAATATTTTTAACTACTTAATAGAGTCCTTAGCTTTCACATAAATCATGACATTTGAGGTGTCTAAAATCACAGGGTCTTATTTTTTGTTTGTTTTTCTATTTTGTTTTTTTTTGGGGGGGTGGGGTTGTTTGTTTGTTGAGTCTTCCCAATTGTTCTCTGCTCTTTTCCTAAATAAAGTTGAAAATACATGGCCAGGTGCAGTGGCTGTAATACCAGCCCTTTGAGAGACCAGGGCAGGTAGATCAGTTGAGGCCAGTTAGAGACAGACCTGGCCAACATGGTGAAACCCCGTCTCTATTAAAAATACAAAAATTAGCTGGGCCTGGTGGTGAGCCTGTAGTCCAGCTACTTGGGAGACTGAGGCACAAGAATGAGGCACAAGAACCCAGGAGGTGGAGGTTGCAGTAAGCCAAGACTGCACCACTGCACTCCAGCCTGGGTGATAGAGCTGAGACTCTGTCTCAAAAAAAAAAAAAAAAAAGAAAATATTTCAATATGACCTCAAATTGATTTTTTTTAATCAATTACTATACCAAGATTTTTTTTAAGGCACAAAATAGGTATTTCACTTCAAATAACTTCACACAAGCAGAGTTGGCTCTTCAAATAAAGTCAAGTAGGAAGTATAATAGTAGAGACTTCTAGATATGCAAGAAGGAATAATTAAGAAACTTTTTCCAAAAGCAGATTCATCACCTGTTACTCCCATGTTTTTCTTGAATTCTCCATGATTTTAGGGACATTTTAAGTGTCTTATTTTATTGATTTCTAAACTATGGATTCTTTTTTTTTTTTTCCGGAACCCTAAGTGTGACTATGAAAAGGACTGCATTCTATTAGAAGCACTAGACTTGGCTGGGCGCAGTGGCTCACGCCTGTAATCCCAGCACTTTGGGAGGCTGAGGTGGGCGGATCACAAGGTCAGGAGCTTGAGACCAGCCTGGCCAACATGGTGAAACTCTGTCTCTACTAAAATTACAAAAAATTAGCCTGGTGTGATGGCTTGCATCTATAAGCCCAGCTACTCTGGAGGCTGAGGCAGGAGAATCGCTTGAACCTGGAAGGCAGAGGTTGCAATGAGCCAATGTCCATCTCAAGGGGAAAAAAAAATAGAAACTGCATTCTGTTAGAAGCACTAGAAGCACTAGACTGTTTCTTTCTTTTCTTTTCTTTTTTTTTTTTTTTTTTTGAGACAGAGTTTGCTCTGTCACCCAGGCTGGAGTACAGTGGCGCAATCTCAGCTCACTGCAACATCCACCTCCCAGGTTCAAGCGATTCTCCTGCCTCAGCCTCCCAAGTAGCTGGGATAACAAGCACCCACCACCACACCGGGTAATTTCTGTTTTTTGTTTTTTGGTTTTTTTTTAGTACAGACAGGGTTTAACCATCTTGGCCAGGCTGGTCTTGAACTCCTGACCTCATGACCCTCCCACCTCGGCCTTCCAAAGTGCTGGGATTACAGGCATGAGCCATCACACCTCAACTAGAAGCACTAGACTTTTGATAGAGTGATCTTTAGTGTTTGCTTTGTTTGTATTTGATTTGGAGTTTGTTGATAAGATTTTGTTCTTTATGGAGTTGTTTGGTTTTTATTTCTAATTTTTCTTTTTCTTTTTTTTTGTTTTGCACACAGAAAATGATTCGATTCCAATGCGTTATTTCTATTTTTATTTCTAGACAATCTCACTTTGTCATTCAGGCTGGAGGGCAGTGGCGCAATCTCACCACCACACCTGGGTAATTTTTTTGTTTTTGTTTTTGGTGGTGGTGGTGGTGGTGGTTTTTTAGACAGTCTCATTCTGTTAGGCTGGAGTGCAGTGGTGTGATCTTGGCTTACTGCAATCTCTGCCTCCCAGATTCAAGTGATTCTCCTGCCTCAGCCTCCTGAATAGCTAGAATTACAGGTATGCACCACCATACCTGGCTGGTTTTTTTTTTTTTTTTTTTTTTCTTTCAGTAGAGATAAGAGTTTCACCATATTGGCCAGACTGCTCTTGAATTTCTGACCTCAGGTGGTCTGCTCACCTCAGCCTCCCAAAGTGCTGGGATTACAGATGTAAGTCACTGTGCCTGGCCCTAATTTTTGTATTTTTTAGTAGAGACAGAGTTTAGCCATGTTGGCCAGGCTGGTCTCGAACTCCTGGCCTCAGGTGATCCAGCCCTGTGTGCCTCCCAAAGTGCTGGGATTATAGGCATGAGCCATCACGCTGACCTGGTTTTTAAGACTAATATTTAAGTTTGTGAAGTATAACACTTCAACAAAATGAAGTTTCTAATTGTTACAATGAATAGGAAACATTATCTGAAGTTTTTTGTGTCTGTGTTTTGTTTTTGAGACAGGGTCTTGTCACTCATGCTGCAGTGTAGTGGTACAATCCTGGCTCACTACAGCCTCAACCTCCTGGTCTCAAGTGATCCTCCCACTTCACCCTCCTATGTAGCTGGCACTGCAGGCATATGCCACCACACCCAACTGATTTTTTTTCCCTTTTTTTATTTTTGTAGAGACAGGGTCTCATTGTGTTGCCCTAACTGGTCTCAAACTCGTGGGCTCAAGCAATCCTGCTTCGGCCTCCTGAAGTGCTGGGATTACAAGCATGAACCACCATGCCCAACCTTACATGAAGATTTTTTTGTTTTTTTTTGAGACGGAGTTTCGCTCTTGTTACCCAGGCTGGAGTGCAATGGCGCGATCTCGGCTCACCGCAACCTCCGCCTCCTGGGTTCAGGCAATTCTCCTGTCTCAGCCTCCTGAGCAGCTGGGATTACAGGCACGCGCCACCATGCCCAGCTAATTTTTTGTAGCTTTAGTAGAGACGGGGTTTCAACGTGTTGACCAGGATGGTCTCGATCTCTTGACCTTGTGATCCACCCGCCTCGGCCTCCCAAAGTGCTGGGATTACAGGCTTGAGCCACCGCGCCTGGCTGAAGATTTTTTTAAAGTATTTTTTAATGCAGTATATAAAATTTGGCTTGGATATTAACATTTTCTGATATTTCTTTAATAGATGAATTCTAGCCATTTTTATAAAGATTTCTGTAAATCTTATTTTTACATTGACTTCCTTAATGAGATTTGGATTCTGCTAGATAGATGACTACTCATAAGAATGTTACAAGTAACTTTAAAGAAACATTAAAATCCTAAAAGTAGCAACCTTAAAATTATAAGTACTGAAACTGTAAGCAACAATAGTAAGAATGTTTGTATATTTCTAGTCTGTTACCATAATAGCCTCCTATGATTATACTCTAAATGTTTTACTCCCAAGGTCTCAGTAGTTTAATTTAGCCTTTTTTTTTTTTTAAAATCAGTGCCAAATTCCCCAATCCTTTTAACTTTAAATATGAGTGAATAATTCTTTTACCCTTTCTTGATCTTTGGACTCACAATAACTTAATTGCTTGTTAAAAGGAATCATACATGGAAAGAGATAGTATGACTGTCTGCAATTCCACTTGTAGTCATATTCAGATGGGAAAACAGTATTAATTACTGAAAGTTGTTTAGGGGACTGCTGGGTCTTGGAGTCAGCACTTGGGTTTGCATTTCTTCTCTGCAGTTTTCTGTATATGACCACCGTAAACCCCAGCTTCCTCATCTGTATAATAAAGATAATAGCATCTGCCTCCTCGGGTTATTATGAGGATTGGATGCAGATGTGTACAAGGCGATCAGTGAGGCAGTCAGTCACTAATACTATCAGCTTATAAAGCTGAGGATTCAGTCAGCCAGTCATTGGCAATCTGTTGTTTGTTGGGCTCTGCCAACGTTATTTAGCAACCAGTTGGAATCTGATAGCAGTCAGAAATTAAATAGGTTATTCTTGGGTTAAATAGTATATTCATACAAGTGATTGCTTGGATCCTCCTCAGAAGCTGCTATTGAAAAATAGTGGTATGCCTGACTAAATTCTGATAATTATCAGTTATTAACTAATCCTCAGAAATTAACTGTAGTGTATATAACAGGAACTGGCCTTTAGTTACAAGTAGAAACTATGGACAAAATGGTAGATGAAAAATAATGGCATGAAGCTATTATTTTTAGTGGCTTCAGTAAGTTGAAGGAACATGATACCACAAAAGTACTTTGTGGCTTAAAGAATTCCTTTTGCTGGCCATGCACAGTGGCTCACGCCTGTAATCCCAGCACTTTGGGAGTCCAAGGCAGGCGGATTACCTGAGGTCAGGAGTTCGAGAACAGCCTGACAAACATGGAGAAACCCCATCTCTACTAAAAATACAAAATAACCCAGGCATGTTGGCACGTGCCTGTAATCTCAGCTACTCGGGAGGCTGAGGCAGCAGAATCGCTTGAACCCAGGAGGCAGAGGTTGCAGTGAGCCGAGATCATGCCATTGCACTCCAGCCTGGGCAACAAGAATGAAACTGCTGATAATTACATTCAGTGACATGTGTCTACATTTAATATTTTGTTAGTTTGAAGGTAAAATTAACTAGAAAATAGGAGGTCTGGATTTTCTTTCTCTCTGTCAAATGTGTGATGTGGACAAATCATTTGACCTCTTAATCATAACTTTCGCAAAATGAGGATAACTTCTGCCTCTCCCTTCCTAATAATGGCATTATGATAATATGATAGGTGAAAATAAGTTGATAATTCAGAGGTGGAAGTATTCTACAAATTGACATTACTACTTTACAACTAGTTTCTGAAAAATTGGAACTATTTTCAGCTTGATTAGAACCATGACATGTAAAAGCCAACTAGGAAATTCTCTGCAGACTTGCTATTTAATTGACATAGTGGAACCATATTCTCATACTATATATGTTGTGTTCTTCCATAGGTTTCAGCCATTTTTGCTTTTAAATTAGCAATGTTGTTCCTAGATTTGAAATATATGTCTAGTCACTTTTCAGTGAAACTCACATGAGGCTTTTCTGTGTCTCTAGGTTATTTGAGATGACTTTTTTAAAATTAGCTCTTGTCCTCCCCCTACAGGAGAATTTGCAGCCTTCAAGTAGCCACCATCATGGCAGCATCTGCTCTTATTTCTTAAGTCTTGTGTTCGTACAATTTGTTAACATCAAAACACAGTTCTGTTCCTCAAATCTTTTTTTAAAGATACAAATTTCCAATGCATAAGCTGATGTGGAACAGAATGGAATTTCCCATCCAACAAAAGAGGAAAGAATGTTTTAGGAACCAGAATTCTCTGCTGCCAGTGTTTCTTCAGCAAAAATACCACGAGCATACAAGTCTGCCCAATCCCGGGAAGAAAGAGGAGAGACCCTGAATTCTGACCTTTTGATGGTCAGGCATGATGGAAAGAAACTGCTGCTACAGCTTGGGAGATTTGCTATGAAAAGTCTGCCAGTCAACTTAGCCCTTCTAACCACCAGATCAATTTGTGGCTGATCATCTGATGGGGCAATTTCAATCACCAAGCATCGTTCTCTTTCCTGTTCTGGATTGTTGTTGTGGAACTCTTTCCCCTAGCGACCACCAGTTAATTTCTGAGGGATGGAACAAAAATGCAGCTTGCCCTTTCTGTATGGTGCGTGCATGTTCAGGCCTTGACAAATTTTATCAAAAGGAAGCTATTTTATTTAAATGGAGGCTGAGCAATGAGAAGTAGATGTGTCTTGGTATGGAGGAAAAGGGCATGCTGCATCTTCTTCCTGACCTCCGGGGTCTCTGGCCTTTCATTTCCTTGCCCACTGAGGGGTCTGCTTAACCAAACAGGCTAGATAGTGCTGGCACATATTGCCTTCTTTCTCATTGGGTCCAGCAATTAAGATAAGTGTTTGAGGATTTTTTTTCCTCCACAATGTAGCAAATTCTCAGGAAATACAGTTTATACCTTCCTCCTATGCTCTTCCAGTCACCAACTACTTATGCGGCTACTTTGTCCAGGGCACAAAATGCCATGGCAGTATCTAACTAAAAGCCTACAAAACTGCTTAATAACAGTTTTGAATGTGAGAAATTTAGATAATTTAAATATAAGGTACAGGTTTTAATTTTTGAGTTGCTTTTATATTTTTATTAAAAAGAAAATAATTTTCAGATTTAACTGAATTGGAATAAAATAATACTTCCCACTAGAATTATATATCCTGAAAATTGTATTTTTGTTATATAAACACCTTTTAAGAAAGATCATTATCCTTTTCTCTACCTAAATATGGGGAGTCTTAGCATAATGACAAATATTTATAATTTTTCAGTTAATGGTACTTGCTGGATCCACACTAACATCTTTGCTAATAATATCATTGTTTCTTCCAACTTATTCGTAACACTACATCCTACATCTTCTTTCTAGTCTTTTATCTAGAATATGCAACCTAAAATAAAAATGGTGGTGTCTCCATTCATTCTCCTTTTTCCTTTTTTCCCAAGCCTGGTCTTCAAAAGGTTGGGTAATTTGGCAGCTGAATTCCCAGGCAGAGAACAGAGCAACTTTAGGCATATTGGGACTGAGGGAGGATGTGGAAAACTTATCATCAGTTGTTTTTATAGAAAGAGCTGGTGTTTATTAAAAACCTAAATCTTTCTTATCTTTGCACAAATGGAAAATATAACCTAGTTATAGCTTCCTTTGGCCTTTATTAAAGGGTAATATCAATTACAGTCATAGCAAAGAAAGTATATGTATTAATGGAAAATTAATGGAAAACCTCCCTTAATCAGGAATCTAGACTCAGAATTTAGGAATGTAAATCAAGTCAGATATACTTAGACCAACCAAGCTAGAGCCAAGGATTTGAAAGAAATTAAACAGGACCCAGAATAAATCAACGAATTGGAAATGGTTATTTAAAATTTTCAGATTGTAACTCCAGGCCCTGCTATCTGTATTTCAGCCTTCTAAAAGCTCACTACCATTAGATGATTTTTGCTAACATACATGTGTTCAGAAGAAAGTCTATTGAAATTTTCATGGACTTGTAAAAAGTTGTCCTTATAAAATGCAATCAGTTTGAAAAGCAAATTGTTTTTAAGTTTTACATCAGCAGGGCAATGTCTTAAAAATTCAGAAATTGCAAAGATGGAAATAATTCACGCTGATTTGAAGAGCATCTTCTGTGCATAATACTGCCTCTCTTGAAAAGCATTGGCTATTTTTTTTTTTTTAATATGTCTCTAGATGCTTTTATATGTGGCTGTGTTCCCTTTACCAAGATTGGCTTCAAGTTTCTGCAGGTTGAGAGCCCTGGGCTTGAACAGAGGATGTGTTTCATGTCCTGCTGAGGAGGCAGAATGTGTGCATGGCTGGGAGCAGGACTGCGTCAGCCAGGCAGTGGCAGCACCATTAGGGAGGAAGCTGAGCATTTGAATTTCCTAAACAATATTCAGGGTGATACACTGTTTCTTCCCTTGCATTCTAGAATAGGCTGGTATCTCATTTGAATAGGGAGAGCAGACCTGATCTCAAATGAAGCTGTGCCAAGGAGCCAGGCTCAGCATATTGAGATTTTTTTTATAGAGACCTTAAAAAATAAAATATTTAACCTCTCTTTTCTTCCTTTTTCCATTAAATAGTTTTTTTCTCTAGTTTACAAATGACATGAAAATAGATTTTATTTGTGTTTTATCTGCTTTATTTTTTGATGCTTAGATAACAGACTTATTGAGCTCCTAAAAAATATACCAGGAAGAAGTCCTTATTTATGAAAGCACTTTATGAGTAATTGTATAGACGGTATGTGGCTTCGTCACTGACCATCTTGTAAGGGTGTCACAGTCTTGTCTGTAGTGGCCGCAGTGCCTTCTGTAGTGTGTTTTAGTTTTGGTAGGGAGAGGTGAAACCCTCTGAAAAATTTGAGAGCAACTAAAGCAGATTGTTTTTAACTGTGTAGTATTCCTGATGGACTTTTCTCATCATTAGAGTCTAGGACATAGACTTTTGCCACTGAAATAATATTGACCAAAAAAAGTAGTTTTTAAAAGGGATTTGTGAATAGAAAATGTGATTGTTTATTGTTAATGTGCACCTTAAAAGAAGATTCTGTCTAGCTGTCAAATTCTGGTTCCTGAACATCCCACCCCTGATTGTATTTGAGATCTAGTAGGGGGCATTCCAAAAGATAAAATCCCATATAAATGATATGTGCTATATTTATGTTGGTGTTGGAGAAGAAAGTGCAGTATATAAAGAAATAAGATAGCAGCACTGTCAGCCTGAAACTTTGTAAATATTTCCTAGCTTCTGGTTTGGTGCAGTGGCAGCACTTTCATCACAGGATGATACCTTGTATTCATCAGTGGAGTGCGAGCTGCTGCACACCCTCCTCAGATCTCACCTGTCCCCACTGTACATCCACCTCGCCAGCCGCTTGCAAACCTCATCTCTAGTTTTAGTTTGAAACCACATTGCAGGGTTCAGGTGACCTCTTCAAAAAACTACCTCCTCGGAATGAGGTCATGAATAGTTATTTATTTTAAAATATGAAAAGTCAGGAGCTCTAGAACATGACGATGATTTAAGATTTTAACTTCTTTGTGTACTTGTATTTGAGCACTCTCATTTTGTCCTAAAGGGCATTATACATTTCAGCAGTAACACTGTAAAAAAAAAATGTGTTGCTCAGAATATCTGAATGTTGTTGAAAGTGGTGCCAGAACCTGTTGAGGGGTACGTTTCAGAATCTTAACCTTGAATCAGTTGCATGAAAATAAATAGCTATGGTATCACTTCACTAATAGTGATGTAATTTTAATTTTCAGTAGGCTTGGCAAGACAGTACCTCATTATAATGAGTTAGGTGCAGCTTTGTCACATGCACAGGCATTCATAGAGAGACTGCCCAGCTAAGAGGTAGAATGATTACTCTTTTTGCAAGATTCTCTTCTTTGTCCAAGTTGGCATTGTTAGTGCTAGAATACCAGCACCTTGAGACTAGCAGATTCCAACCATTAGGCTGTAAACACCATAGCTAGAGATGGAAGGTTTACTGTGAGTATGAACAGCAAATAGCTTACAGGTCATGTGTTGAAATAGTATATATAGGTGAGGCTTTAGAAAAATACCTTGACAATTTGCCAAATGATCTTACTGTGCCTTCTTGATGCAATAAAAAAGCTAAAATTTTAGCAGAAATCAGTGATTTGTGAAGAGAGCAGCCACTCTGGTTTAACTGAGCTGTGTTAATAATTTTTAGAGTATAATTTAGACCGCATAGATAAATGCACTAAAGAGTTTATAGCCAAAATCACATTTAACAATGAGAGAACACACAGGTAAATTTTCAGTGAACAAAATTATTTTTTTAAAGCACATAATCCCTAGTATAGTCAGATATATTTATCACATAGAGCAACTACCTTGAAAATACAGTTCAGTGACATTTCTAGAGAAACTTTTTCTACTCCCATAGGTTCTTCAAAGCATGGAACTTTTATACAACAGAAATGTTGACAGAAATTTCAAGAAATTGCTGTAGTTTAGGGTTGAAGTACTGTATGATGGGCAGCAATTAATGTATTAACTTAGAAGGGGAAATTGAAATACAGGACAGAATTTGGTTTTATCAGTTTCCAGAGTACTGCTGCCAACCTAGACACTGATTTTTCAAAGTTTGAAATGTAAATTTCCTCCCAGGACTTGCTTGCATGTGAAGCTGGACTGCGCTAGTCATCCTGCCCCAAAGCACTGTGGGGTCTGGGGTGGAGGTCTCTCAAGGCGTCCTTTATGATGTGGCAGTTGGATGTAAAAGAAAACATTCCATGGTGTGATTCTTGTATCTTCTTTCATTCCTCACCAACAAAAGAGGAAGCCCATGTATTGTCTCCAGTGCATCCTTGAAATGTTACACAGGGATGGATTACTGATGCCTGTCAGCAGTTGAGCCCCAGAAGAGGGTATTAGCATCTCTGCCTCAGGCGATGATTTGTAGCTTGGCCAGAGGCGAGTGGAGTCACCAGTGTATTTGTGGTCCGTGTTGCTAGCTCTGGTAAAACTGAAAATATTGGTAAGATGTTTATTTCATTAGTATACTAGATAGCCCTGTTTTGTTGTTTTCAAATAAGCTATTTTCACTTTTGTTTGGGCAAGGACATTTAAGTCGAAATTCAGTTCTAATTTTTGTTAATTGTGGAAAGAGTAACAGTTCCTATCAGGTATTTTTAAGGTGGAAGAGGACAGAAACCCAAGTCCTAAAATCTTAAGATAACAGTGCTTTAAAAAAAAAAAAAAAAAAAAAAAAGGCATAGGGCCAATTAGTTCCCAACTCAATGAAGGGATTAAAGTACTTTTATTTAACTTCCACAAATTCAACTGTTAAGTTTTATTAATTACTAAATCAGCTTTATTAAAATGTTGACATTTATTTAGCTATTTTGAGTAATTACAGGGACATAACCAGTTGTGTATGAGGACACAGCCAATGTAAGCCAGTGTATCCATTTTTTAGAGGTGCATTTTTTTTTTAAGAATTCTGTAAATTGAAGTGCTCTGAAAACTACTAAAATATGTTTATTCATGTTAGTATCAAAAAATGTTTTGTACAAACCATCTGCTTCTCCTGGCCAGCCAAGTTCATTCTCCAACACCATGACTGCTGGTTCTCACGTACATATGCCGGAGACTTGGCAGAAAATTTGTGAAGAGATGCCGCAAAGGAAGGATCTGTTTACAGGGGTGGGAATGGGGGTTTGGATGAAATTGCTTAGTCCTGGTTTTGTTTTGAAAATTACTGTGTTGCATTTTTGTATTAAGTTTTTGAACGCACATGTATTTTGGTGGAGTATGAGTTAGAAGACACTGCAGACTAGCATAAACAACAAAGCTCAGAGAGTGGGCACAGATGCAGAGAAGAGACCAAAATGGGGTGAGATGGCAGTAAGTCTAGGATAGGGAAAAATTTATGTGAGGGTGGGAAATAAACTGTCATTACCTGAAATCAAATGTAAGAGTGCAATAAGTAAGCTTTTTATTCTAAGCTGTGAAAGGTTTGAGAATCATTCCTTCCTAATACATTTGTGTATGTTCCATAGCTGATTAAAACCAGCTATATCAACATATAATGCCTTTTTTTCATGTTAATGACCAACATAAGTGGCTAGCGTTTATGTCTTATTTATCTTCATGTTATGTTAATTTACATACAGGGGTGTGTGTCTATGTGCTGTCCCCTTCTCCTGCCTTCATTTTAATTTATTCTCTTTTATTCTTTTTTTTTTTTTTCTTAATTGGATTTGGACCTGAAGAAAGACCACCTTCATTTTAAAATGCACCATGGGTCCTCCGTGTTTCCTTTGGCCATGCCACATAGTTTAGTCTCAGTTTGGCCTTCATGATGTCGCTTGATTTTTGAGGAATATATCACAGTGATATATATTTGTGGTAATCTCATTTGTTGGTTGCACATCTGATCCTTTGCTCAACACGGCAATTGCTGCTTTTCCTAAGATAGGATCATATAACTGATCAGAGGATTGAATTTGATCATTCATCAAAAATATGTCTCTCTCTGAATTTTATTCATTAGTTGTGATTGCTCTTTGGTTTAGACCAAGAAAAAGGACATACCCCCTCTTCATGTATTCCTTGGCTTGAGGACATGTCTCCTGTAAGGGAGAGGAAAGGAAGATGCTTCCTGTTTGAACTGCAGTGAATTCATGGTTCCTGTTTCACTACTCCAAACCTTATGGCGACTCACACACACATTCCTCTTTTCTGTTATTGCCAAAGGTTCGGGTTTAGTACACTTCAGTTCCACTCAAGCATTGAAAAGTTCTCATGAAGTCTGGGGCATGCCCAGTGAAAAGATGGGGACTTTTTAATTGTCCACAGACCTCTCTATACCTGCTTTGCAAAAATTACAATGGAGTAACTATTTTTAAAGCTTATTTTTCAATTCATAAAAAAAGACATTTATTTTCAGTCAAATGGACGATGTCTCCCTGTTGTCCCCTATTCTTAATGTTTGCTTGAATCTTTTATTTTTATTTTTATTTTTTAATTCTTCCCCATACCTACTTCCTGATACTTTGGTTCTCTTTCCTGCTCAGGTCCCTTCATTTGTACTTTGGAGTTTTTCTCATGTAAATTTGTATAACAGAAAATATTGTTCAGTTTCGATAGAAAGCATGGAGAATAAATTTAAAAAGATAGCTGAAATTCAGATTGAAGAAATTTATTTCTGTGTAAAGTTATTTAAAAACTCTGTATTATATAAAAGGCAAAAAAAGTTATATGTACTTGATGTGAATATGCGAATACTGCTATAATAAAGATTGACTGCATGGAGAAGTCTTCATCAGGATTATTTTTCTAACATCATTACAATCAGTAACAAAAGTAGTCAGCAGTTTTAACAGTTCTTCTAGACAATGGAGAGACTAAGAAATGTACACTTTGTTTCTTAATGTTGGTTACTGCTTAGTGGGTAGAAGTTGAAGTAAGTTGTCAAGATCGTGCCTGATACATGCTACATGCTATACAACTTGTAGTAGCAGCAGCCTTTTGTCAGGTGTTGGTGATGACCTTCAGTATTTTAGATGTTGACCTGATGTATCTTTAGCTGCAAATGACTGCTCTCCCTGTGGTTCAGTTGGAGTGTGTGCCTTACTTTAGTCATGTTTAAAGTTTATCTGCAGAAACTCACCTTAGAATTGTATTTTTTCAAACTTTTGACACAGCTTGTATTTTCTACAGTAACACAGAACATACACACTAACATTTATTGGAAACTATGCACTCATGTTTTCTACTTTTTTTAATGTGGTTACCTCAGTGAGTTGATTTTGTGCATTTGATTTCATGGTCCACCCCCAAATAAATAAAATTCACTCAAGTCTGAAAAACACCTAGAGTATCTCCAGACAAAATATATCAAAGTACTGGGCAAGGTTTCCAGAAAAGAAGTAAACAGTTTTAAAACTCACCTGAAGTACAGTGTGTGTGTATGTGTGTGCGTGTACACGCACACACATATATATATATACACACACACACACACATACATATACATTTTTTTAAAAAACTCACCTGTGGCCAGACACTGACTCACGCCTGTAATCCTAGCAATTTGGGAAGCTGAGGCAGGTGGATCACCTGAGGTCAGGAGTTTGAGACCAGCCTGACATGGTAACCCCGTCTCTACTAAAAATACAAAATTAGCCGGACATGATGGTGCATGCCTGTAATCCCAGCTACTCGGGAGGCTGAGTCCAGGAGAATCACCGGAACCCAAGAGGCGGAGGTTGTGGTGAACCAAGATCACGCCATTGCACTCCAGCCTGGGCAACAAGAGCAAAACTCTATCTCAAAAAATATACAAAAATTAGTCAGACATCTGTAATCCCAGCTACTCGGGAAGCTGAGGCAGGAGAATTGCTTGAATCTGGGAGGTGGAGATTGCAGTGAACCGACATCCTGCCATTGCTCACCCGGGCGACAGAGCAAGACTCCATCTCAAAAAAAAGAAAAGTGACCTACAAAAGTTATGTCTGAGAATAATATGAAGGAACAGAAAAGTCTGAAGAGAGCTTGTGCCTGAGGAATCTGGTTTCACCCCTCCTCCCAAACCATAATAATGCTTTCAAGACTTAAGAGGCTAAGGCAGGATTGCTTGAGCCTAGGAGTTGGAGGTAAGCCAGGACAATACAGCAAGACCCCCATGCTACAAAAATAAATGTCAAGACAATTTCCTATGAACTGCAATTTTCTCATCTGAAAAATGTAATTCTATAATATAAACATTATAGAAACTCATTTTCTAAACCTTCGTGCATGATTACAACAGAGTAGTTGTGGCTTTAAGAACATACACCATAATATGAGGTTTTCCTTAAAATTTAGCCCAGAACTATGGACACTTTAGTTATTATAAAGAACTCTACCACAGTAGCTCTTCTGAAACTTTGTGGGGCTGTGACAATCAGACCTACTGTCTTTTGAGTTATATAGTTCTCCTAGACTCAAAACGTTAGGACAAAAAGTGTTCTTAAAATTGAGCTGGGCTCATTGACTCACACCTATAATCCCAACACTTTGGGAGGCTAAAGTGGGAGGATCACTTGAGGCCAGGATTTCCAAACTAGCTTGGGCAAAAATTTTATTTTTTATTAATTGGGCATGGTGGCATGAACCTGTGATCCCAGCTGAGGTGGGTGGAGACTGCTTGAGCCTGGAAGGTCAAGGCTACAGTGAGCTGTAACAGCACCACTGCATTCCAGCCTGGGCAGCAAAGCAAGACCTGTCTTGAGAAAAACTGGTCCAACTCCTCTTATATCAGTTGCTGAATGTGCAGCCCCAAAGGATACGACTCTGCTAGGCTTATGTAGGCAGGACCCAAGATCTGTACCATGCATTTTACATAGGTGTATGTTACGTATATATAATTTTGTCATGGTGGCTATAACGAGATGTAGATAGTACTGACTCCATGACAGTGAGTTTGTAGCTGGAAATGGATGTTGTGCTAGGCATACTCCACCTGTCCCTACTGTTGTCATCACCAATCTGGAAAGACACTGCTAGTGTAGGTGACAAAAAGCAAAGTCCCAGCTGCTGATGCAGGTCCACACACCAGCTCAGGGAGCTTCCATTTCCTTGACACTGCACAGTGGCGTCCCACCAATGCTCCTGATGACATGGTTGCAGCAGGCGACAGGGTCAACCTCTTCTATACAACAGTTCTAGGGGCAACTGGAAGCAAGATGACTTCTGTATCTTCCTGTAACATTCATGTAACAGCTGTTCCTTCTGTAGCACCTCTCATCTCAAACTTACTAGACAACTAATTTTGGTGTTTACTTAAGGTTCCCTAGGAAACAGTAAAGTTACGAACTTGTGTGCTAAAATTTGACAGTTGACCTCTGTTGCCATTTTAGGCCATACCCTAAAACTTCCTTCAAATGTACCTGTAGCTGCTCATCACGGAGAGGAACAGATACCCTCAATGTGTCTGTTTTGCTTTAGCACATTTTTTACAGTGTGGGGGTGGCACCACCTCTGTTGGAGTATCTGTTTACTATCTAGTCTATCTGGAAGATTTTCTATAAAAATCAAACTGGGATTCCAGGGTCACTACACTTCTTAGCTTAGGCCCAATGGTCTAGAAATAACAACTGCTTCTAGTTAAAAGAGTATTTCATTCAAGCCAGGCATAGTTCTAAGAGCTTTATCTAACCCATTTAATCCATTCTACAAATTAGGACATTGAGATACAAATCAAAGTTATTTGTCCAAAGTCATAGTAAGCGAATGGTGGAGCTCCTAGTCAGATCCAGCAAGTCTGACTCCAACAGCCTGAGCTCTGGAAGCATTATACCAGCTTTTCAAATGTCAGACAGAGACAAATCAGTAGGTTGTAAAATCAGTTTAGGAGGTCTCAACTGGCCTTTCTTTCGTAAGTATGTAGAATCAAGTGAAAATAGTGTGCATCACAGATACTGTTTCGTGAACTTTTGGTTTGATATATGTGTATACAAGCATATTTATATGCCAGGTAACATGAAACTAATCCTTAAACTGTGATCAAAAAGGCTGACACCATGCTGTGTTGACTCAGATCATCTGACTCCACCTAGAACAAGACTGCAGGATCTGAATCTGCAGGTATGAGCTTGGCAAAGCACCTAACCCATCTGTAGCTCAATTTCTTCAACTACAAAGTAGAAATAATAATGTGAGTATGTGACAGATTAACACATTAAGTGCTAACAACAGTGCCTGGCCCATGGTAAGTTTTCACTGTTACTTCCTGTAACTATCTATTGCCATCAATCAAATGTTGTACAGTACTTAACATCCTTTTGGGACTGCTCCCACGTATTTTCCCATATGCTATACAGGGGGTGGAGGCCCATTCCTTTAAGAAGGCTGGGAACAATTTCCTGCATGGCCCACGTGTGGAAGAGGATTCCAATGTGGCCTCCATATTCTTTAAACAAAAGAATGCTCTTTTTAAAGTTATCTTTTAAGTCAAGCAACTGATTCCTAAGGAATGGGGCTACTGAGATTACTTGAGTTCACTGTTGTGGACTGTATTCTTTCCAAAAAAAAAATCTTTATTGATATTGGGAGGCGGGTGGTCAAGAGGGGCGGGATGGGGGTGAGTGGAGGACAAGAAAAATGAAACCTGTAAAGTACAAAGAGATCCGATGGTTTTAAAAGTAAAGACCTGAAACATGGCTTCATCAGCTCAGGCAGCTCACACACAGATGAGTAAACACAAAACCAAGGAAGTATCCCCAGCACCCCTTACAAGAGGGGCAGGACTGCTGAAACTGTCAGCAGGGGAGGGTGCAACTCGTCCACTTGCTTCAGCTTTTCCTGCCATGGTGCCAGTTCTGTGACAGCCAGAGCGAATCAAAGTGGGGATGGAAACCCAGGCACTAGGAAAGCACGTCAGACTACACCCCAGCTTAAAGCCTGCCAGAGGCTGCTCGCTACATTCAACCAAAATCTAAACCTGCAGCCCTGATCTGCTCACGAGATCTAGTCCCACCCTCTCCTCACCTGCGGGAGGTGCCCTGGACTTGATGTTCCTTAAACACAGTAGTGACTGAGGTCCCATCCAGGACCCTGATTCTGGCCGCTCTCATTTCCAGAACAGTCTTCACCCTCGAACAAATATGGCTTCTCCTACTTGTTCAGGTTTCAGCTCAAATGCCTTCCCTGACCAGTCAAAAGTTCAATTTGCCTTCCTCGCCCATCTCTGGCACCTCGCCCAGTGGCATTTCCTCCACAGCACTTAGTCTCACTTGGTTAGTGACTGTCTACCCTTTCTGAAATCTTAAGTTCTCTGAGAACAGTCTTATCTTCTTTAGTACTAGATTCTCAATGCCTAGGTGGTCAAAAACCTAAGTTGGAAAAAAAGGGAGGCCAGGCACTGTGGCTCACACCTGTAATCTCAGTACTTCGGGAAGCCAGGGCAGGAAGATCACGTGAGGCCTAGAGTTCAAAACCAGCTTGGGTGACATAGCAAGACTCTTTGTCAACACACACACACACACACACACACACACAGACACACAAATTAGCCGAGTGTGGTGGCACACACTTGTAGTCCCAGTTACACTGGGGAAGCTGAGGCAGATCACTTGGGCCCAGAAGTTTGAGGCTGCAGTGAGCTAGGTTCGCCCCACTCCACTCCAGCATGGCTGAGACAGACCTTATCTCTACAAAAAATATATAGATCGAGATTTAGATCTGTGGGTAGAGATTTCTGTCCAGTCTCACAGAGCTGAAACGTGCTTTGCAACAAATTTTGTAAAAAGTAAAAATGCCTGCCTCACTCATCTCCCATCCTCTGGCCCTAAAAACTCCTAGTTGGAAGTGTGAGTTAAGAGTTCCACAAGATGTTACTGGATGGCAAGTCTTCAGTGAACAAAAAAAAACAAAGAAAAAGAAAAAATAATTAATAAAAAATAAAAGAGTTCCACAACAGCCCTGCATCACAACTGCCCAGTCCACAGGAGCTACTTAATTAATCGACTGCACTGACCTCTAACCTCTGTCTACTCAGGGCAAGAATCCACTGCGGTGGACACAGGGCCAGAGTTTTCACAGGAACTGCTGACACAGCTGACGAAGACACCGGCTGAGGAGACGACGGCACAGCGCTGCAGCTAAGGGTGAGCTTCGGAGTCCTCACCTCACTGGTAGCGTGTTGACGCTAAGGAAGTAACCCCATCTCCAGGAACCTTGCTGTCTTCACTGATAAATGGAGCTAATGCCTATTATGTCAGTGGGGTACCCAAGAGGGTCAGCTGAAAGGGCACTAAACCACTAAGCGCCAGAGTGAGAAAAACTAATAATCCATAAAGGGTAGCTGCCATTATCAGAAAGATCCAGGGCGGGCACAGTGGCTCACACTTGTAATCCCAGCCTTTTGGGAGGCCGAGGAGGGTGAATCACCTAAGGTCAGGAGTTCAAGACCAGTCTGACCAATATGATGAACCCCATCTCTATTAGAAATATAAAAATTAACTGGGTGTGGTGGCGGGCACCTGTAGTCTCAACTACTCAGGAGGCTGAGACAGGAGAATTGCTTGAACCCAGGAGGTGGAGGTTGCAATGAGCTGAGACTGCACTCCAGAGTGGGTGACAGAGTGAGACTCAGAAAAGGAAAAAAAAATCCGTTAACTCCATTCTCATTCTTGACCAAGCCACTTTAATTTGTAACTTTAATGTACAATATGAAGTCGATAATCCTTGAAATCCTCACCTGGATCCTGCAGGAAAACAAAAGTAGAAAGCTTTGAGTACTTTTATATTCACTAATTCAAATCCGTAATTATTCAAGTATTTCTTGAGCACTGATCATGTGATAGCCTTCCAGAGGAGAGAAGCAAAATCACCATTCCTCTCAAGGGTTTACAGTCCAGTCATTAAAACAAATTTGTGGCTGGGCCCGTGGTGGCTCAGGCCTGTAATCCCAGCACTTTGGGAAGCCAAGGCGGACGGACCACGAGGTCATGAGTTTGAGACCATCCTGGCCAACACAGTGAAACCCTGTCTCTACTAAAAATACAAAAAATTAGCCAGGCATGGTGGCAGGCACCTGTAATCCCAGCTACCCACGAGGTTGAGGCAGGAGAATCGCTTGAACCCAGGAGGCGGTGGTTGCAGTGAGCCGAGATTGGGCCACTGCACTCCAGCCCGGACTACAGTGCAAGACTCCAACTCAAAAAAAAAAAAAAAAAAAAAAAGATTTGTTTTCCAGGTGCAGTGTCTCACATCTGTAATCTCAACACTTTGGGAAGCCAAGGCAGGTGGATCACTTGAGTCCAGGGATCAGCCTGGGCAACATGGTAAAACCTCATCTCTACAAAATATAAAAAATTAGCCAGGCGAGGTCGTCCCAGCTGCTGGGAAGGCTGAGGTGGGAGAATCACTTGAGCCCAGGAGGCTGAGGTTACAGTGAGCCACTCCTGCCTGGGCTACTGAATGAGACCCTGTCTCAAAATAGAATAAAATAATTAAATTAAAATAAATTAAAAGCATGTTAAATAAGGACATTTTAACCCCTATGGATTTGAGGGGAAAGGGAACCTTCTTACTACCTCCCTTTTTAAAGAAGCAAAACTCACTTCCTGACCTGGAAAATGAAAAAACCATAACCCTTTACCATTTAAAGAGTTAGTTTTCATATAGTTCTATATAGTAATATTCCCACACGCTGGATATATTTAAATGCTGACAGCAGGACACTATTTATTGCAGCTACATACTGTAAGCTCCATCTGTCCTGTTAACCACTCTATGCCTGTGCTTGGCACAGAATTGGTCTTAATACATCTTTGATCAGTGGACTGATAAACCCTAAAACTGTAACCTAACTTAGGAAAAAATCAATTTTTAAATATACAACAGGTCAGGTTCGATAGCACATGCCTGTAATCCCAGAACTTTGAGAGGCCAAAGCAGAAGAATCATTTGAGCCCAGCTGTTTGAGACCAGCCTGGGCAACATAGTGACACCCTGTCTCTACAAAATAAAAAATGTAAAAAAAAAAAAAAATACAATGAAAAGAAGACACCAAAGCAAATGTGAAAACTTAAAGACAGAATCAGATACATGGCTAGGCACAGTGGCTTACACCTGTAATCCCAGCACTTTGGGAGGCTGAGGCAGGCAGATCACTTGAGGTCAGGAGTTCAAGACCAGCCTGGCCAACATGGCGAAACTGTCTCTAACAAAAATACAAATATTAGCCAGGCATGGTAGCATGTGCCTGTAATCGCAGCTATTCAGGAGTCTGAGGCAGAAGAACCACTTGAACCTGGAAGGCAGAGGTTGCCACTGTACCCAGGCCTGGGCGACAGAGTGAGACTCCATCTCGACATGGTTAACTCAGCTTCATGCTGTTAGAATATGCAGTTTCTTCAACTCCATCATAGGCACAAAGTAAAAATTAATGTTTATGAAAAAAGGGAAATAAGACTTAAAGGAATCTGGGGTACCCACTTGTAAAGAGTGAGTCTGAGTCTACACCTTCAGTCTTCATCATCAGGAGGGATACCCAATTCTTCATCTGTCCACTGGGAAGGATCAGGATACGGAAAGTGACCCTGGGGACAACCATTTAAAAGAAAGAAAAGTCAAGAATTTACATTCCATGCAACTAATTAATTTTTTAAATAAACCTTGGAAAGAAGAAAACACAATATGGCTAACTGCCATCTACAGAGCGCCTCCCACAGAAACACATCCTGGCAAAGTCTGGCAAAATATGTTTCAAACTCTCCTAACATTACCACTGTGGAATCGAGAAGCCTCAGGTGGACTTCCTCATCTTCAGTCCTGACCTAAGGGCTTCTCTGGCTGCATCAGCATCATCTCAGGCCTAACAGCTGTATACACTATGCACACTCTGGACAGCTGACCTACAGTGAGGTAGAGGCATCTCAAATAGCAAAGGTGCTGCCAGTTTCCAGACACTAAGCGGCTCCTTGCTGAAGGACAGCGGCACAGAGAAGTTCTAAGAGAAATGGGATATGAGGCAACCTGATGCTTCAAAAACTTGCATACTGCTTAAGATTTTCTTCCTATCCTGGAAACAGACCCAAATTAACTAAAATTCAAAGTATTCTAGACCAACAAGCGAAGATTTTGATGTCTTAAAGGTGTAATTTTCTAGAGGACAGTCTGCAAATGTGATAAAACCTCAGTTGATGCAAGGATATGTTAGAAAATCACTAATACTAACTTCCCTTCTAAAGACAAATTAACTCACACCCCTCCCACCCAAACCTGGCTGCCCTGAGTCTCTGGACAGACTAGAAAACAATTGTCATTTAAAGGAATTTAAGTGTGAAACTTAACCCACCAATGAACAGCTAGTTCAGAAGGTAAAAGAATTAGTTTCTAGAAAATAAAGAAAGAAAGAAAAAAAAAGATTTCATTTCTGGCTAGGCATGGTAATTCACGCCTATAAATCCCAGCATTTTGGGAGGCTGAGGTAGGCAGATCGCTTGAGGTCAGGAGTTCGAGACCAACATGGCCAACATGATGAAACCCCATCTCTACTAATAATAAAATTAGCCGGGTATGATTGTGCACACCTGTAGTCCCAGCTACTGAAGGGGCTGAGGCACCAGAGTCACTTGAACCCAAGAGGCAGAAGTTACAGCAAGCCGAGATGGCACCACTGCACTCCAGCCTGGTGACAGAGTGAAACTGTGTCTCAAAAATAAATAAATAAATAAATGAAAATTAGTTTCTAGGCTCCCTTTCTAAGATGGCAATCTTAACAGGAACCATAAGAAACGGACCGCTTAAATATACATCCTCATGTAAAAAAAGGTCAGAAGATAACATGTTTCATTAAATAACAGGATTCTCGTACAGACATCTAGATAACATGGTGGTGGCAAAGGGATATGTCCAGATAGAACAATGGTCTACAACAGAAAAATAAACAAGCTAAGCTATTAATACATCCTCCTCCCCCTACCACACTTACCAGCACGGCTTCTGAGTCATGCCAAAAGCGCCACAGAATCCAGAACCACATGGTTGCACTTAAGGTCTCACCCCAGATCACCGGTTTTCTGGTCACCTGGGGGAACTGTCTGTATCGGGGCTCAATGTGCACATCACCACCAGCACTGCAAGACAGAATGAAATGGCAGGCAGCATGCTACAAAGTGTTACGTCATCCAAAACTTTGAGTTACATCCTAGAACCAAAGCTAACATTTCTCATCTTCTCCACTGAAATACAGACACAACAGAGGTTCGCAATCCCTTGAAATACTCATTTTTCACTAAGCTTGCTTCATGTGTAGCAGCAAATACTGACCCAAACTGACAAGAGGCTAATTTTGGTTTACAATTAGTGAATATTCCTAATTTTGCACTAGAAATTCGAATGTGTTGATTATAGGGTGCCACTCCCAAAGGTTTCAAAGGACTGTGAACTTGTTAGTAGATCACTAACTTATTCAGAAGAATACTTTAATTTTGTTCTGTTCAGCTGTCTATTTCAGAGGCAAATTATGTCCTCTGCCTACTACAATCTTTATTAAATGCAACCATATGGAAAAGAGGACTCTCCTATTAAATATGCTAATGGCTCTGAACAAAGAACTTTTAACAGTAAGTTTGAATATGTTTTTCTTCCATTTAGACACTTGACAAGTTGTGGCACACAGTCTGTAAGAGCTATAGTCAATGTATTCAGTTGGGAATATAATTATCATACATTGCATCTAACTTAAATTATTTGCACCTACTGGGGCAATGCCTTAAACCTATTCAGCAGCTATACATATACTAATACACAGAAGTGGATAAAAAAATTTTTAAGAAAATTCCTATATATGTTTATGAATTTCATCTAGGTAACAATCGGCTTATAAACCATATTCTCTGTTGTGCAGCACAGAAATTACAACCTGCAGGAAAAGTGCATTAAAATTTCTTATCTTCATAATGTGCAGATTCATGAACAGTAATATGGCAATGATTCTTGATACATGCTAACTAGGATTGCTTGTTTTGAGAGTCTCACTCTGTCACCCAGGGTGGAGTGCAATGGTGTGATCTTGGCTCACTGCAACCTCCCCCTCCCAGGTTCATGTGATCCTCCTGCCTCAGCCTCCCAAGTAGCTGGGACTACAGGCATGTGCCACCATGCCCAGCTAATTTTTGCATTTTTTTTTTAGTAGAGACGGGGCTTCACCATGTTGGCAAGACTGGTCTCAAACTCCCGACCTCAGGTGATCCACCCACCTCGGCCTCCCAAAGTGCTGGGATTACAGGCGTTGAGCCACCATGCCCGGCCAATAAGAGCCTTCTTCTTTGACAGCTTTTTGATACAATCCAAGTGCGCAGCAGTAAAACTCATTAAAACAATTATAGTTCAAACCCATCTTAGCAGCTCCCCATGCTTCCTTTGTTGCCAAAGTGACATGTTTTAATTATGACCTGAAGTAGGGACTGCAAGGTAGAAACCTTTCGGAGCCAGGATTTGAAAGACTATAATCACAGCAAAGGAACAGATGACGATTGCCATGATTAAGGACTGCAAAGACCTAATTCACAACGTTATGTTCCAAACCAGGTTGTGAACTGCACTGTGGCAGACCAGATGCCCTGAACAAGTCTCCAAATTAAACAACTCTGATGCCAGGTGAGATTTTTAAGATTTTTACAAACATCACTGGCCAGGCACAAAAGGAAAGAATCCACCAAGGGCAAAATCCAAGTGAAAACACGGCCTGGAAACTAAGCAATCACTAATGCTGCATTCATTCACCAGAAGTCCCTGAGCCTCCACTGGGATAGCCACATGAGGTGTGGGGACAAGAGACGAAGCCTGGGGCCCACCCAAGGTGGGAGGTCTAATTAAGAGATCTCTGATTACAGCTGCAGCCCCAGGGTAAAAGGGAGAAGAAATAAACCTGCCATGGAGAAGGGAACAAGTATTTGTTATCTGACGCCAGTACTCAGGTAGGTTTGCACCCAAATCCACACTACCTGTGTTGGACCTGTGTGGACCAAAAACCCCAAGGCGAGAACTTAAAGTGAGCTTGAATTGGCAGCGCCCTCAAGAGACTAAGAGAAGGAAGATCTCAAAGAAGTTCCAGGGAAAACGAGCTCAAGATCAAAAAGTATAAGCAAACAAGACACTATAAGCAAGTCCTATAAGAAAGAAAGAGAATGGGTACTAAACATCCAAGGAAATAATGGCTGTTCCAACTTAGAATGCTTGAGAGTCAAGTTTAAAAACAAAAATGCACCATAACTCTGCTAAAATTACATTTTTATTTTTATTTTTTTTTTGAGACAGAATCTCACTCTGTAGCCCAGGCTGGAGTGCAGTGGCAAGATCTCGGCTCACTGTAATCTCGGCCTCCTGGGCTCAAGCAATTCTTGTGCCTCAGCCTCCCCAGTAGCTGGGATTACAGGTGCACACCACCACGCCCAGCTAATTTTCGTATTTTCAGTAGAAACGGGGTTTCACCGTGTTAGCCAGGCTGGTCTCGAACTCCTGACCTCAGGTGACCCGCCTGCCTCAGCCTCCAAAAGTGCTGGGATGACAGGTGTGAGCCACTGCACCTGGCCAAAGTTACATTTTTAAAACATAAATCGCCGGGTGCGGTGGCTCACGCCTGTCATCCCAGCACTTTGGGAAGCCAAGGTGGGCGGATCATGAGGTTAAGAGATCGAGACCATCCTGGCCATGATGAAACCCCGTCTCTACTAAAAATACAAAAATTAGCCGGGTGTGGTGGCACACACCTGTGGTCCTAGCTACTCGGGAGGCTGAGGCAGAAGAATCGCTTGAACCCAGGAGGTGGAGGTTGCAGTGAGCTGAGACTGCACCACTGCACTCCAGCCTGGCAACAGAGCAAGACTCCATCTCAAAAAAAAAAAAAAAAGAAAGAAAAGAAAACATAAATCAGACCACATTACTTTCCTGCTTTAAAACTCCAATGGCTCCCTATGATTCTTAGAATAAAATCCAGAGTCCTCCAAAGCCCTCTCTAATCCAGCCTTGTCCCTGTGACCTGGACTCTCCCACTCTTCCCTTGGCTCCACTCCGGCCTGGCCTCCTGCCAACCCTGCCCTTTTATGTCCACCAGTCTCTTCCCTTGAGGTCTCTACACGTCTGTCATCCTCAGGTCCCGGTTCAAATTACACTCCCAGGCATTCCCCCACCAACCCCAAATACAATATCCTTTCTATTCCCACTCACGCACTCTCCATATTAATCCCCGGCTATATTCTCTATACTGGCTGCTTCCGGCTGTCTTCTCCTCCCACCCTCCGGCGTTCTCTCTGGGCGATCGCCTCCACTCCCTGCAGCCGGAGTGATTTTTCAGCATTAAAAAGTGGTCACGTGATGTCTCTAATTAAAGCCTGCAGAACTGACTCTATCCTGAATTTCGCAGCCAGGCACCGGGACCCTGGACCCTCCCTCGGCCTCACCGCTGCCGCCCCCCTCCTTGCTCCAGTCGCGTCCACACCCGGCCGCAGGCTGCTTTCTCCGCCTGGATTGCCCACACCGGCGCCGACCCACTCAGACGTCTCTGAATTCACGCGTGCGTCTCCCGAGAGCAGGCGGTCCCTACGACCATGACGGCCCCGCACACGGTGTTCCATCTGCCCAACAAAGTCTCTTCCTTACTCCCTCCGCCCCGCGGGGTCCCTCTCCCCCAGCCACAGCGTCGGGGGACGGGCGGACTACAGGTCCCAGCATGCCTCGGGGCGCGGCCTCTCCAGGCGCCCCAGTAAAGGTGAAGGCGTCCCGGAGACCCGCGCCGTCTGCTACAGGCCGGCGAGGCCCCCATCCCCAGCCTGACACTCACTGACGGACGCCACCGTCTCCAGCAGCCCGTGCGCGGCCACTTCTGAAAAGGCGGCCACCAACGGCGGCTAAAGACGCCAGCCGAGTTAGAGCCGACATGTTCGCCTGCGTCCGCCCAGTCGTCCCCGGCCACGCCGCCCCTGCATACGTCACTTCCCCGGCGTCTCGCCCCGCGCCTCCCGTGACGTCGCGGAGTTGCCCATCTCCCGGATTGGGGGAGCCGACAGCCGCGCCCGACCTGAATTAGCTGCGGGTCCTTTCGCTGGAGGAAACCTCTCTCCCGAGAGCAAAGCCCACGCATAGCTTATGGTTGCTGAGCTGCCCCGTGGCCTCTGAAACAGCTGTTTCAGATCCTGAAGGACTCTCCCCCTGTTCTCCAGCCCCTCCTAAAACTGAGGTGTATAACGTATTTTATTTTAGTTTTTTTTTTTTTTTTTTGAGACAAGGTCTTTCTCTGTCGCCCAGGCTGGAGTGCAATGGCACGATTTCGGCTCATTGCAACCTCTGCCTCCCAGCCTCAAGCAATTCTCCTACCTCAGCTTCTCGAGTAGCTGGAACTACAGGCGTGCGCCACTGCGCCCGGCTAATTTTTGTATTTTTAGTAGAGTCGAGGATTTCACCATGTTGGCCAGGCTGGTCTCGAACTCATGAGCTTAGCTGATCTGCCCATCTCGGCCTCCCAAAGTGCTGAGATTACAGGCGTGAGCCACCATGCCCGGCATAAATGGTGTATAAATTAGGGGAGAGCATCCGCTATTTTCTGCCTGAAAGTTGACTTTCCAGTCGACATGCAATAGTGTGGCTCTAACACTGAAGCATATTTGTTTTCCAGATATTCACTAAGAACTCCAAGGACAAATATCCCTTCCGGCGTTCTGCAGGCTGCCTCGTGGCCGTCTTTTGGTTATCAGATGAACACCCTATTTGAATGGACGTATTTCAGATGAGGGAAGGGATTCCAAGCCCTAGCACTGAGCGCTCAGCTTCTAAATGCAAATCAGATTCCCATTCAAATTTTAAGAAACTGTGAGGACAGACTCTAGATGACCTAACATACAGCATCTAAGCCCAAATCAAAAATCTACTCTAGAGCTGGAAGTAGAAAACAGAGGTGAGAAAAAAAAATTGTTCACAAAATTTTATGTTGCCTTAATTCCCCACTCTGAAAGCCTCACTCGATTTCCCCCGCCCTATAGGTTTGTTTTGTTTCATTTTGTTTTGTTGAGACAGAGTCTCACTCACTATCTTACCCAGGCTGGAGTACAGTGGTGTGATCTGGGCTCACTATGATCTCCATCTCCTGTGTTCAAGCGATTCTCCTGCCTCAGCCTCCTGAGTAGCTGGGATTACAGGCATGCGCCACCACACCCGGTTAATTTTTGTATTTTTATTAGAGACAGGGTTTCACCATGTTGGCCAGGCAGGTCTCAAACTCCTGACCTCAAGTGATCTGCCTGCCTCTGCCTCCCAAAGTGCTGGGATGACAGGTGTGAGCCCGTGCTGGCCCATGTGTCCCTTTTCTGTTGCTGCTCCTAGGAACTGAGGTCCTGGGCCCAACACCCCCCAAGCTCACCTGGCATCAGACCCACCCCAGTGAAGCCCGGAAAGCCTGCAGCCTTAGGAGAGACCCTGAGCCAGAGGACCCAGTCTAGCTGCACCCAGATTTCTGACCCACAGAAATTGAGAGACAATAAATCCTACGGTTTTAGGCCACTCTATTTTGGGATGATTCGTACCCAGCAATAGACAATACAGGCCACAAATGGCTTGATTCGATCCACTGGCTTTAAGGAAAGGCCCAGCTGTGTTGGCATAGGTTCAGGAGTGTGCCATCTTTTTGTCCCTCTCCTGCCTCCACACTGTACCTGAATGTGCACTGGCACAAGCGGCTGTGTGGCCAGCTGGAGTGCCTCCTCCCAGCCATCTGGAGCATCCCAACCCTCTCTACCTGCTCTGAATGCCTCCTCAAGACCTGGGAAGGAAAAAATAACATCACCTCTCTGGAAAAAACTGCACCAAAGGAATCTCTGTGCACCTAAACCGTACTGCTCCCTAAGAGACAGGAATGAGCAACTTTATCCAGGAGAAGGGAAGAATGGAAGAAACTAGTCCTGTGGTCAGGGCAGGACTTTCAGAGAGCACAAGGACCTGACTCCATTCTCTGCCTAGTGATCTCTAAGACGAGCGACATAATCTATCAGGGTGCAGAGATAAAATGCGATTTTACCTAAAAAAAAAAAAAGAGAAATTAAGCTTTACAAATATTCCCCTCCAGGCTGACCCCAGGGCCCTCCTGGTCTGCCGCCCAGCCACATCAGCTCAGCTCTGAAAGAAAGCCCGGGGTTGGCCCTGGCAGAGAGGGGCGGGCGGTGGTCACTGCAAGTGTGTCGCCAGGTGCTGCCATGGAGAAGAGGATGTACTGGTTATATTAACTATGTTCATATTCAGAATTAATGCTTGCACATGGACAGGCAGAGACACTGTAGCAGAGAAGCCGCAGTTCGAGACTAGCATGTGAGCCCAGGACAACGTTAAGGAAGTGGCCAAGGCATTCTGCCCATGTCCCCACTGTGTCAGCCACGTTCATCAGTTTTGTTTTACCTCATAGTAAGTTAGCAAGGAGTTGTCAAAAACTATTAAAAATTACCAAGAAGATAATTTGAAGTATAATGAAATTTGCCCTAAGTGTATATTATGCTGGCAGGGAGCACTTGCATGACATTTATACATAAATTGTGTGTGTTGTGGGGGGGTGATGCATGTACCATGGGTCAAAAACCTGAATATCAAAGTCTGGGAACTACCAGCAGGACCCACCTGACCGGGGAGTATAGCAGGTCAAGAAAAGAGAAAAACAGGAAAACAAAATAAATTTATTCATCCTCCTCTGCAGAACATTTTCCCTGAACGAGAGTGTCCCTGGCACCTAGCCCAGCTTCCACAATGGAATGGATAGGCCCCTTCCCTTTTACTCCCTAATTGGCCCAAAGCTTTTGAACACACCCTCAAACCAAGCAGAGGAGAAGCCACGGTGTGCCTTCCACCACTGGAGGGCCACATTTGGAATTGGTGTCCCACTTTTAAAACATCCCAGCTGCCACAGGAGAGGCTCTTGGGAGCGGCCTCCAGCTCTTGACAAGGGCCCACAGAGGCCCACTGCCCCATCACAGGGGACACGCTGGGCCTGTGAGGAGGAAGGGCCTTGCTGCCTCCAGGATGTCCAGTTTGGGGTCCAGCGAGCGGCCAAGCCCCTCCAGCACCATGATGGCAAACACAATGGAGGCAAAGTTGCTCTCAAGCTTTACCTGGAACAGAAAACAGAACAGTTCATCTCAGAACCTGCCGATACAGGGACGTGTGTCCTGGATAAGCACCATGCTGTCCACTCTCAGCCTCCCTCAGACCTGCCCACGGGATGTTTACCATCTACCTGACATTCTCTTCTCTACCATATCATCTCCCCAACCATCGCTGCTTGCCCAACCTCCCATCTACTAGATACGCTAAGGAAAAATCTAGGGGTACAGCACATACTTTTCTAGGTTTGTGTCCATGTGTGTATGAACGAAGACCAAATAAATCTTTCACACACATCCCAGAAACCATACATTTAAATACAGGTCATTCTTCAGAATCTACAGTAACCTTTATGTATATATTTTTATTTTAGAGACAAGGTCTAACTGTCACCTAGGCTGGAGTGCAATGGCAAGATCATAGCTCACTGCAGCCTTGAACTCCTGGACTTAAGGGATCCTTCTGCCTCAGCCTCCTGAGACTTGGACCCTTTTTTTGTAGACAGAGGGTCTTGCAATGCTGATGAGGCTGATCTCGAACTCCTGGGCCCAAGCAATCCTTCCACCTTTGCCCCCACCAAGTGCTGGGATTACAGGCAGGAGCCATGTCAGCTGGCCTACAATAGGCTTTTTAAGAGACAACACACAACTGACTGCTCAAAAAGGGCACAGCTACCCCTTCAGAGCCAGATTAGTAGTAATAGCAATTGACATGGATTATTCAACTATTCTTCAAAAGTATCATCATTATCCCCACTCTATAGAGAAAGAAGCTATGGCTCAGAGAGGTTCAATGACTTGCCCAAGGCCACTGGGTAAGAAGGAATAGAGGCATATTTAAACCTAGAACAGGAATCTGCTCTTTAGGTGGACAGAAGGTCAAGAAATGGAAGGTTGACTGATGGGAAAATATTCTTTGTTAGAAATTAAAGAGTGTTTGTCTCCACTAAGGGCTGGAAGGTCTTCGCGGGTCAGGCTGATCTGGGAGAAAGCAGCATGCTCCCATGAGCAGCTGTGGAGTTCCAGCCTGGCTCCTGGGCCACACAGGCTCTGGTCCAGGTGGGAACCCAGGGCTCCAGCACCTCTGGGAATGCTTTCATTCTGAAGCTGGGTAGTGAGTTCTTGGTGTGGATTATTAGATTCTTTTACCTCTATGTTACTGTCAAATACTTTATTTAAAAAAATTAAGTGCTACCTGAATAGAGATTTCTTCTAAGGAAGATATACAAATGGCCAGCTAGCATATGAGAAGATGTTCAACATCATGAACCAGTAGAGAAAAGCAATGAAACCACAATGAGACAGCACCTCACACCCATTAGGATGGCCACTACCAACAAAACAGAAAAGGACAAGTGTTGGTGAGGATGAGAGAAACGACCCCTTGTATACTGTTGGTGGGCATGGAAAATGGTACAGCTCTTATGGGAAGTTCCTCAAAAACTAAAAACATACCGTATGATCCAGAAAACCCACTTCGGGGCATATGTTCAAAAGCTGGAGGCCAGGCGGCCAGGCGCAGTGGCTCATGACTGTAATCCCAGCACTTTGGGAGGCTGAGACAGGTGGATCACCTGAGGTTAGGAGTTCGAGACCAGCTTGACCAACATGGAGAAACCCCATCTCTACTAAAAATACAAAATAAGCTGGATGTGGTGGTGTGTGCCTGTAATCCCAGGTAGTAGGGAGGCTGAGGCAGGAGAATCACTTGAGCCCAGGAGGCGGAGGTTGCAGTGAGCCAAGATCGCACCACTGCACTCCAGCCTGGGCAACAAGAGCAAGACTCCATCTCAAAAAAAAAAAAAAAAAAAAAAAGTATGTTTTCAAACTTAAGTGCCTAGTGAAGTGCTCAGAATGCAGTAGCTTCCCTAGGGCCTCTGTCTGCTCTTCCATCCTGGGAACAGCAGCAGCAGCAGCAAACATTCAAGGCCCCTCACTCACCGTGCCTCAAACTGCGTGGGGAGATGTTGAGAGGGAGCCACCGAGGCAGGAGGAGCCAGCAGCAGGCAGGGGCTTGAGC